GGGAAGGCCCTCTGCCTGGTTCCCTGTAACCTCACTTCTCGCAGCGAGGGAACCACCAGAAGGCCCTTGGAGCTGGACCTCAGTGTCCGGGCAGAACGATGGAGGTGGAGATGCTCCTTCAGGTATACTGGGCAGAGGCCGTTTAGGGCTTTAAAGGTCAGCACCAACACTTTGAATTGTGCTCGGAAACGTACTGGGAGCCAATGATAGTGCTTGTCTCTTTATAAGCTCCAGCACAACCCAGTTTTTCAAGGATCCCTTCATCCACTGTCTCTGCTGCCTGTTGTGGGATGAAACAAGTGGGTAGCCCTAAACACCTGTTTTAACAGACTAGTTCTTCTGGCTGCAGCAGTCATAAGGGAAAGGCGGACATTGAGGCAGGAGGAGCTGCTGTCATTGTGAGCTTTCTAAAGAAGCAGGCAACACCTCTGGGCAATAAGCCAGGAAACTTCAGTCGCATGCATAGAATAAAAGACAAACAAAAGCGTATTCAGATATGGAAACAGCTTTTCAGGAGTGCTCCTGTGTCTTTAAATTATAAAATGAGAAGCAACTATTACGAATTTCCAGCGAATTTCCAGTGCAGCTTTTGTGGAAAAATTGCCTTATTGTCTAGCTTGACTCACAATGTTTCTCTGAATATTTAACCTAAAAAGGGCCTCCCTGCAATTTCATCTCTATTCTTCATAGCAACGGAGAACAAAAACGTTCTGTCTTCTTAATGGCGGCTTTTAAACAACATCGGAAGATGAGCTACAAGCTCAAAACCCAGCTCAGGTATCGGGAAGAGTGGGAAGAAGAGCAAGGAGTAATCTTTGCTCTAGATTTTGCGGAGTTCAAAACTGCTGGGGACAGGGAGGTCTCCTCCCCTGAGTTTCAGCTCACAGAGTTACTCTGGCTTACAACTTCCAGTCGCCTCCGTTCCGTTCACAAAAGGGAGCGAGATAAAAGAGAAAATAATTGCCTTCCATTTGTTTTGGACGTGTGCTGGTTTCTGTGTACGGAAATAGAGCGGGAAGGACTGGCTGTGGTGTTAAATCCAATTGCCGTCTCACCCACTGCAACAAACCAATAATTTGAAAGCAACGCATAAAACAACTGACAATTTGCTGTCCATTAACAGTACCCAAACTCTGTGGCCTGAAGCAGACACGTAATGAAGGCCTAACCAAATGCTATAGCAAAGGCGGAGAACCTGTGGCTCACCAGCAAGCAGGGTCTAATCTAATGGCCAGGGATGGGGAGCAGTGTCATTCAGACCATCTGCAGGGCCAAAGGTTCCCCACCCCTGTGCTACATGACAGGACCAATATTGGATCTCTCTGTATCAGGCCCTCCAAGTGTCCTTATTTTCCAGGCAGGTTCCTTGATTTAAAGAAGCCATCTTGGTTTCTGATTTCATCCCAAAATGCCGCACTTTTCCTTAGGATGTCCCTATTTTCATTGGAGAAATGTTGGAGGGCATTGAGCTATGTGACCCCTGAGCCCTCTGAAGGAAATCCTGTATAGGGAAGGCTTTTTAAAAAAAAACGTATTTAATGTTTTATTATGTTTTTATGTACCGTATTTTTCGCTCCATAAGACACACTTTTTTCCTCCTAAAAAGTAAGGAGAAATGTCTGAGCGACTTATGAAGTGAATGCACTGGACGGCAGAAGGGATCCCTCAGCTGCAGCTGCAGTCGCGAGCTGAGGGATGCCTCCGCAGCCGGAGCCATGGCTCCCGTCCGTCACTCGCTGTAAAGCAAGCAGATCAGGAGCCGCTGACACGCTCTGCGCAGCTCTCACTTTTCTTGCTTTAAAGCAAGAGAGCATGTCAGAGGCTAGGTCATAACATTATGTTTGAAGACTGGGAAAGGCTGTGGAATACTGGTGTTAGATTCACGGCCTGTAATGTTTTGAGAGAAAATATAATGAAAATGATTTATAGATGGTATATGACCCCAGTCAAACTTGCAAAAATTTACCACCTGCCCAATAATAAATGTTGGAAATGTAATGAAACTGAAGGTACTTTCTATCACCTTTGGTGGACCTGCCCAAGGATTAAGGCCTACTGGGAAATGATCTACAATGAAATCAAAAAGGTCCTTAAATGGACATTTTCTAAAAAACCAGAGGCTTTTCTCCTGGGCATGGTGGGCCAATTGGTGCCAAGGAAGGACAGAACTTTTTTTATGTATGCTACCACAGCAGCAAGGATTCTTCTGGCAAAGTATTGGAAGACGCAGCAGCTACCCACTCTGGAAGAATGGCAAGCGAAGGTGATTGACTACATGGGAATGGCTGAGATGACCGGCAGAATCCGTGACCAGGGGAAAGAGACAGTGGAAGAAGATTGGAAGAAATTTAAAGTATACCTTAAAAATTGTTGTAAAATTGAAGAGTGCTGAGATGTTATGGTGTTAAGAAATAGAGATTGCAGCTGTATATCATAAATTTAAGGGAGCTATAATGAAGATGAATTAATAATGAAATGAAGGGTTGCTGTTAAAAGGGAAAAATAAGGATGCAGAAAAAGGGAGGCATGGGGAAGTCCGGGAAACAAGGTGAAGGAGAATGAGTCTATGAAATTGTACATGTTTATTTGTGTGTATGTTTTGTTTTGTTTTGTTGTTTGTTTTTATTACATGTCTGGAAAACTAATAAAATTTTATAAAAAAAAAAAGAGAGAGCATGTCAGAGGCTCTTGCTCTGCTGGCTTTACAGCAAGGCGGGAGGAGGGACGGACAGGAGCCACGGCTCCCGTCTACCCCTCCTCCTGCCTCGCTGTAAAGCAAGCAAAGCACCTGTCCTGGTGTCTCCTTCTCCTCTTCTTGCTCCAGCGTCGCTGCACTTTACAGCAAGGCGGGAGGAGGGATAGGCAAGCAAAGTGAGAGCTGTGTAAAGCGGGACAGAAGCCATGCAAGCGGCTCTCACTTTGCTTGCTTTAAAACAAGAAAAGCGAGAGCTGCTTACACACTCTGCGCAGAATTTCTTTTCTTTTCTTGTTTTCCTCCTCTAAAAACTTGGTGCGTCTTATGGGCAGGTGCGTCTTATGGAGCGAAAAATATAAGCTGTATGCTGGCTCCCTCGGCCAATAAAGCGAGATGAGCGCCGCAACCCCAGAGTCGGTCACGACTGCACCTAATGGTCAGGGGTCCCCTTTACCTTTTTTACAAACAAGAATAATGTTATACAAATAAGTACAACAAGGTTTCTCTTGTCATTTGTGTATCACAAAAACAGAGTAATAAACGTGGAAAAATATCTACAACCTACTGCCCATTAGTGGACGTTTCAGGATTCTAGGTGGGCGGAAGGGAGTTCTACGGCACAAGCTGAATCCTCCTTCCATTGAGCACTGGTGGGTGGTAAGGAAATTTTACCATCAAGAAAGATGCATTAGTGGGCAGTAGGTATAAAAAGGTTGACTACCCCTGGTTTAAACAATTAGGAAGAAAAAAGGGGGGAGAGGGGGGAATGGTGAGTTGGGTGGGGTCAGGTGGTTATGCTATTCTTCTACTTAGTGTATGTGTGGGGTTTTATTTCAGTATTACTTATATGGGTTCTCTTACTATTCACTTGGTATTTCCTTGGCGGTAAGAGGGGTTGGGGTTGGCCCAGGGTGTGGTTGGTTGTCTTTGGTTGTCTGCAGTGAGATTTGTTTTGTGTGTGAATGGGGTGTGTTTGGATCAGGTTAGCCAGATTGACTCATATGCTGTCGAAGGATTCTTGTTCTTGTCTTGTTGGGCTGTGTATGTGATAAAGGGTACTCATACCAGGGTGAAAGCGTCTTCTTCTATTTGTCCCCGTGTCAGTTTCAGTTTATTGGTCAGTTTTTCTAATAAGGCTGTTTCCCATACTCTTTGATACCATTGGTCCATGCTTACTCCTGACAGGTCTCTCCAGTGTCTGGCTATGATGTTTCTGGCGGCTGAGAGTAGGTAAGTTATGAGCTCTTTATGATGTGAGTGGGCATTATTATCTTGGAGGATGTTTAGTAGGGCCAGTTCTGGGGTGACTTCTAATACTTGTTCAGTTATTTTGCATATTTCTTGTATGATTGATTCCAGAAGAGTTGGATTTTGGGACATTCTCACCATATGTGGAAGTATGTGCCTGTTTTTGTGTGTGTTGGAAGCTGCCCAGAGTGGCTGGGGCAACCCAGCAAGATGTGTGGGGTATAAATAGGAAAATTATCAATATGGAATGGGACAACCCTATTTTCACTGGAGAAATGTCACAGGGTATGCCATACTGTTGACAAAAAAACACTGTTAATTTTCAGAACTTTGGCTCTAAAATTATTAACCAGGTGGGCAAAAGCTGTCATATTACATGCAAACACAATAACTGCTCCCAATAATTACAAGAATAAGTTTTCTTCCATAAAGGCCAAAGTGCCGTTCTTGAAAGGAGTCTATCAACCAGTCTACCTTCAAGCTGACCCTTTTATCCAATGGTCATGCTAGTAAATAATGATTCAAAGATCCTTTTGCATCTGCAGCACAGACACAAAGTCATTCCTCATCTGGTTCTTCCTTTCCCAAGCAGCTTCGAGACTAATAGTTACCTGCATATCTCAGTATGGTGGCTTTGAAAATTCTGGGTATGAAGGTTTGTGAAAAATTGCAGGAGTTGGACATTTAAAAATCTTTTACCACTTGAAGTAAAATGCTGTTACAAGGTTGATATTGGTTGAACAATTCTTGAGTGTTAATGGAAGTGTGGGTTTTGTTTTGTTTTTGGCACAGAAAGCTTCATATTTCATATGCGGTCCCCAGAAAGCATGAATCGGAATCAGAGCCTGCCCTATAATGAGTTCTCTGAATGAGTCTGAATGGCAGTTACAAAGCACTTTCTGATAGCCCTGACTGCACAAAGCACTTTTCTCAAATGAAAAACAAGTCTATGTGAATGGATAGCAACATAACAGACATAAGCAAACCAGGTTCTTCCATTCAAGTCATGTTTCCCTCACGCCGCATTCCCCCAAAGAGAAGCAAAAAGTATAATTACCCCAAAGCATTCCTGTAAGGGCCAGGATGTACAGTCAAAAGCCAGATCGATAGACAGATGGAAAGAAAACAGAAAAGATCAGGAAATGGGCCATCGCCAGAGAGCAAAGGAACAAGGAGGAGACTGTTGGAAGAAGATTTGCATCTGAGAAGAGGAAAAATCCCATCTCCCAGCCTTGCTATCCTGACATTCCACTCCTTCTGCCATCCCAGAACCCTCCCTTTTCCTCCCTTGCCTTGATTCCATTTGCCAACATTACTTTCCCCCCTAGAATTAAGAGCACACCTAAAAATGTGAAGAGTGAACACATCAAACATACACTTGCAAACACATGTATCATACAGTTAGACTCATAAGGGGTGGCTGTCTGGCTGCAGCTCCCTGATCTTCAGAGCAGCTGCCTGGCAGCTAATTAGCAAAAACACAAAACACTAATCATGAGCCCTAAGGGATAGATATGCAATGGCGCTTTGTATGTTTCCAGATGGAGGATGATTTTGGGCAAGCTGATGCAACCTGAATACAAGGAAGCCCAGTAGTAAGTGCCCTGATCAACCAGTGGTTCAGACTGCAGGCACTGGCAGCATGGACCAAACATAGCATTGCTCATAATGGACAGAAAAGGGACTACGGGGTGAGGAGGAGAATTTGGAGAAGGAGAATGTGGGCTAAGGGCTTCAGCACTGCTGCTTTGCTCCAAATTGCCCTTTCCTGAAACAGCTATTCTTTACAAACCAAACCAAGGCAACCCAAGACCCTAGTGTTTTGTTACATATACAGTGTAATGAAGATATGTGTCCTCACTACAGACCCAAACTAGTTTGTTTTCAACCAAGTTATCCAAAGTGCTATGTTTCTAGAGGGGCAGGTAGGGATCCTAACGCAGGACTCAGAGCTCTCAGAAAGCTCCGTTCCTTCGGGGTTCTTCCTTAGCTCAGTTGGTGGAGCACGAGACACTTCATCTCAGGGTTGTGGGTTTGAGCTGGGCAAAAGGATTACAGGGGACTAGATGACCCCCGTGGTCGCTTCTGACTCTACGATTCTATGTAACGTGTAGTTTTAAGTTTGCCGTGTGCATGTGCCCCGAGAAAAAAGAACCGGCTGAATAAATAAAAAAGTACTTGTAGGGTTTTCAGGACGAAGTCTTACCTGCTTGGCCAATGAAGCCAAAATCATAAACATGTTGATATTGAATCAAAGGAATATCTTTCCAAATTTGAAAGTGCAATATATATGTCAATTGGGCACTCTTAGAAGGGATAGCTTTCTTGTGTTGTAGGGTGAATGCCAAGGTGATTCATGAGCTGGGTTGGGTAGGGGATGGATGGATAGATGGATAGATGACTGAGAGAATGGAAGGGGGTGAGGGATGTTAGAATTCCTGCTCCATGATTGCAGTCATGGGATTGTGTGAACATGGGGTCGAGCTTGTGTATGTATAGCTGTTCATTTCTTTATTCCTATTGCACATGTTCTAGGGGCGAAACCACAACAATCTGGGGGCAGCCCTTCACTTTCCAGATTGCATTTTTTGTTTGTCATTTCCTCCCCTCCCGCCTTCCTGCAATGTCCTTGCATCATTGCAAACACCCTCTGTCTCACAAATAAATCTCAAGCAGGTGACAGAGGCAAAGGCATTCACTGGATTGACAGAGCATAGATACCAACCTGGGGAGTGTCTGAGCCAGAGTTTCACTGGCAGCACAGCCCTGGACTGCGCGAGAGCTATTGGAAAGGTGACAGTCTGAACGCTAACAGGGAAAGCTCTAGAAGTGCAGGCACTTACGCCAAGGCAAAGGCCATCAGGGCTCCAACCACCACAATGAAGTCCAGGATGTTCCAGAGATCTCGGAAATAGGAGCCGTCTTGCAGGATTAATCCCTGATCTATCATCTGCGGAAAAGGTAGAAGCAAGTTAGTCATGAAGTCATTGGAATGGGAAAATGCCACTTTTGTAAGCTAAATGTTTTTTGTAAACACGACAGTTTCTGCATCTGATCAGTAAAATGGAAGATAGTTGTATTGTTTTTCCAAGCGAGGTCTTCACTAAAGTAAACTCCCAGGAATTTAAAGGAAGAGACTCTCTCCACACAACCCACCCCCGATATACAATGGGGCTAGTTCCCCTCTCTTCCTCCGAAAGTCCAACACCATCTCCTTTGTCTTGCTAATATTTAGGTGCAAGTTATTCTCTAGGCACCATGTAGATACTTTTTGAACCTCCCCCCTGTACGCTGATTCATCTCCACCTGTAATTAGACCCATTATGGTAGTATCATCTGCAAACTTAATAATTGCAGTAGATGGATCAGATGAAATACAGTCATACGTATACAACGAGTACAGGTAGGGACTCAGCACACATCCCTGTGGGGTCCCAGCGCTGAGCTTCAGGGAGGTAGATGTAACAGGCCCAATCCTCACTGTTTGTGTGCGATCCCCCAGAAAGCTAGTGATATAGCCACTACTTCTGTGACCTTATTTTTTAAAAAGGACTGGATGAATTTATGGGTGGAACATTTCTCAACAGCTATCAGACGTAATAGCTAAACGGAATCTCTCCTGTTCAGAGGCAGCATGGCCCAGAACACCACTCGCTGACTGGCAAAGGAAAAGGGAGATGTTATGTACTGAGTTGAATAGGATCCAAAATGCAGCAGTCTGATTGGTCCTAGAACAATAGGATCCAAAATGCAGCAGTCTGATTGGTCCTAGAACAATGCAGCAGTCTGATTGGTCCGCAGGAGCCACCCAATCCAGCTCCAGGTGGAAGTGAATCCACAACCTGATTGGCCTACAGGAGAATCCCGGAATTAGCCAATTACGTGGGGCCCATTGTGTAAATAATGTATATAAAGCAGACGTCCTGGGGGAACTTCCATTCCTCCTCACCACTATGAGCTGAATAAAGAGCATGAAATCCACTCTCGACTCTGAGTATATTTCAGGAGACTTGCTTGCAAGTTTCCCTTTAAGCAACCAGCTGGCCAGTTTTTCAGTGCAGAGGGGCCTTGAATTTCCTTCCTCAGGCCCGTCATGCCATACAAAATACACCTTTCGATGGTGTGCCCAGGGAAAAGGGCCTGCTTCATCACAGGGCCCTGATTTAGATAATCCTCGGCCCCACTAGGAGTTTATGAAAACCAGAATGCCAATTTAGCTTCCCAACTGCCAATCTGGCGCCTAATTTTAGAAGCTCTGCTCTGTGGGAGTGACATTTGCAACATGACAGAGATGAGCAAAAGGTTCTGCTTTAAGGAGAGAGAGAGAGAGTGGGGTGGCGTATTCAATTTTCTCTTTCTACTCGAGAAACCATTTCACATTCTGTTCCACTGAGGCCAACGCTCATCACCCACAAAGAGGAAGTCACAGAACTTGTCGCTGTAAACCGAGATCTCACCAACAACTCACACCCACGGCTTCTCTTGCCATGCCTAATTTTGGCAGACTCAGCAAGTGCAGAGAAAGTGAGATTATTCTTGGATTTATTTGGTGTGGGGGTTTCTCTTTACTAGAAAACTCATCAGTTTTGCCCCTTCTGCTTCCTTCCCCATTTCCCCACCAGCTTGTAGAGGAATTTCATAAACTGGACTCCAGCATATCAAATAATTAGAAGAAAAGACTTGGGGAGAGAGAGGGGGGGGGAGAGAGAGAGAGAGAGAGAGAGAGAGAGAGAGAGTGTTTGCATGTGGGCACAAATAGTTTGAAAGGTGACGCAGCAGCAGAAGTTCTTGGGTCTCCCTAATAATGTGGCCCAGCCCACTCCTTGGCATTCCTCCCTCCTGTTATAAGAATTTCAAGGTCTCAAATGTAGTATAAATATTCATAAATGCACACATATCTAAATATATAAACCATATGTCTGAAATAGTATAGGAGAGCAATCCTGAAGCCATTTTGTCTCTCCCAGTGACCTCAAATATTCCTCTGCAGTAAGGGAGGCAAATGGGGAAACCCTTCCCATTATCCTTTTGCTTGCAAATCTGGGCTTAGGGGCATGAATTTGTGCATGAATAGGGTGAGCCTATGACCTGAATTCAGGAACTAAAGTATGAACCATCACCCAAGAATGGCCAGGCTGCCCAGGTAATGCAACCAGCGACTATTATCAGGTATCCTGGCGGACAGGATTTCTGCTGTAGTCCATCTCCTTCTGTGATGTATGTATGATGACTTTGGGGTGGTCTTTGGCTAAGGGGGTTGGGCAATGTCCAAAGCCTTTAAAGGTTCCTGTACACTTTTGTTCAGGGTCTCTCCCTCCTTGCAAGGAGGGGAGGGAACTCTGCTGCAACAGAAAAATAAGTATCTGCCTTGCTTTCCACTGGATCCTGCCTCTATCCATTCTTCTCTGACTGATCATGGAAACAGGGGACTCAGAGCCCCATGAGGAGTTGGGCAGCAAAAGCCAAATCCCAAATTTTTACATCACTTCCTCCCTCCCTATTTTGCTGACACACGTTGCTTTGCTGGACCTTGCTATTGACATAGCTGGTCACCGCCTTTGCGGACAGGTTGGAATTTTTGCAGTTGGCAAATTGGCTCTGGCCCTCTCCCATCCTCATAGCAATTGTCACAACTTTGGCAGCTTAGGCATCGGGTAGGCATAGTCTTGAACGGAGGGGAGGTTGTAGGAAGTGGTGGGTTCTGCATAATGCCTATGCCAAACCTCTTACATCTGTAGTTGTGGCCTGATTTTACCCAAACAGTAGTAGGCATGTGACAGGGAACTGCCATCGGCTCAGAGGCGAGAGGGGGAAAGGCAAATGGATTACAGAGAGCCTCCAAAAATCATGGGAAGCAGCACTTCCTCAGCAGAGGAAGGAAGCCACGCCTCTAGTGGGGAAGAGCTGCAGGGCTCGGAGGAGGCGAGGCGGTGCCAGGACACCTTGCCTGAGCAAAGTGGGGAGGAGGGAGGTCCCCCTTTACCCAAGCCTTCCTTGCACAGCAGGCTTTCGCGCAGAGAGGGGAGGCGTAGGCTGGGGGTCAAGAAACTACTCTGCTGGGGAAAGTTTAAGGACCGCCCACTCTCAGATTCTGCTAGTGAGTGAGCAAGACATGGAATAGAGGCGTTCTGCATTGTAAAGGTTTTAGCACCAATAATAAAGCTTTTGAAAAGACCAATGAGGCATCTTGCCTGATCGCTCTCGAGCAACCACCCAATAGCCATAACAGCATGCCTTTTTATTCCTGGAATTTGGGCGGTCCAAAGGGCAGGGAGGTGGGAATGTGTTGCCACACGAAGGAATGATGGCAAAGCACACTGTAGGAATATCAAACCTACCATCTTTCCATTGATTTCACAATTCTTTCCCTTGCTTCTTACCTTGATAACCATCTCAAAGGTGAAGACGCCAGTGAAAACATAGTCGAAATATCTCAGGACCTGCAAAGAGAAGAAGAAAAGCTGAAGGATATATTTCTGATGAAAACACTCACCTATTTAAGTATCAGCTGTATTATATGCATGCTGTTATGTTCTTTTTCAGAATTCCAAACAGCAGCGCTCACAAATTTTCTTCAATCAATTTACCTGCATAAAAGACTATTGCAGCAAAATAATAAAGAGCCTTGTGTCGTACCTCAGAGACAAATAAAATCATTATGGCATAAGCTTTCATGGACTACATACAGTTCACTTCACCAAACACATAAAAAGGACTCTAGTTCACAAAAACTTATGCCACAATGAACTTGTAAGTCTGGAAGGTGCCATAAGACACCATGTTGGCGGCGTCCCCCAACTTGGTGTTTGGAACTAAAGCAATGAGCCCCAGCTACCATAGCTGTTCTAGCTGAGGCTGGCTGGAATCTGTCAGAAACAGGGGCAGTCAACATGGTGCTCTCCAAATTTTGATCCCATCAACCCCAGCCAACAAAGCATGTCAAGGATGATGGGTGATGTAGTCCAGAAACATCCGGAGGACATTCTGGTGGCAACTTCTGTTCTAAAGTATTTTGGGGGAGAGGCTGATATGTGTTCCTTTACTAATGTCGAACCAGTTTTATATACTAAAATGCACAATAAGTAAAGACAGTGATCAGTGAAACCTTCACTACAGGTCCAGAACGAACACAGACTTTCTAGTAGAAACATCTCTGGGCCTGAAGTGAGCAATGCACAGGCATATTGTGTGAAAGGAGGCACAATACGCTGCTATTGGATGACCTGATTTAGAACGTGTTTCAGAATCTCGATGCAAGTAGAGAAACACAGGTAGTCCTGGAAAAACCATGGCGAGATAAAAAAGACCACAGTGACGCACAACCTGAACTTATGTTAAAATCTAAAAGCTACCACTGGCCAAAGATCTATGTGGGCACACAGCAGGGTCTCATGATCTCCTGGCACCTCAATGGTGAAAGCCATTTGCACTGGAAATTAAAGGAGAAATCAGCCCAGAGGTTCAACAAGAATTGTGCTGGCATGTGATCCCTTTGGGTCTCTTCCAAGAAAAATAGGTTGCTGCCTGCCTGTTTCATGAGGAATTCTTGCTAGAATGGCCTGGCAAATTACAGGCAACGCATGGCTGCAATTGGTCAGAAGAGTACTTTCAACTCCCTTTGCTTTCATCGGGAGAGAGATAAGTGCCTCCTTGGTGTTGTCACCAAAGCCACTGACTTTAAAGGGTTTAACTGCCTAGATTGTGCTCCACCAAGGCATCATGTTTGCAGGGCAAAGTGAATAGGTCACCAAGTGGGTAATAGGGACCAAACACAAAAATATAGGCCTCTAGGCCCATTGTCCCATTTATTATCCCACCTGGAGTCAATAGAAACTACTAACAACTCTTGGTCATTACTGCTCCTTAGTCATCAACAACAATTTCATTTTTTTCTGAAGTGAGTCACATCAGACTGAATGGTGCAGCATGAAGCAACTTATCCATTCTAAGTTCTTTCTTTTGCAATTATTCTGGATGTAGCTTTTTGCTGCCCCCAGTAGCAGAGATATATTTTTGAGAAACAGAAGGCAAGGCTGGTTTAAACAGATTCAGGCCCTCCTCCTTCTTTTGCCTCCACAGGAGATATGGGCAAACACTGTCATATTACATTTTTTAAAAATCATCATTTTATTATAGGCAAAGCTCCTAAAATATGATGTGTCTATAAAAAATTATGCGAATGAAGAGCAGCCCTGATTCTTGCACCAAGGGAGGAAGAAAATAAATGCAGGCCTCAAGTATTGCCTGTCAGTTTAATTAATAATGATTAATAATAACTCCTTGGCCCTACCCTGGCATGAAAAGCAAGCGCCCTGGGGCGTCCCTGGCTCCACTTTCCTAACAGGCCCCATCAGAGAAAGCAGGAAGATGCCAGGACAGAGCAGCCTCTTTCTTCCATCAATATGCAGAGAAATATGGGGAATGAGGATGGGGAAGCAGCCAACATGGGCAAAAGCCAGGGATGGTGGGAGGACTTCTGGAGGACAACAGATTCTCTCCTCCTGCCGTTAAGTGAAGCTGGCCAACGTGACGGAGCCAAGCGTCATCGAAGGCTGGCTGCTACATGCCATCAAAGGGGCAGCTGCAGAAGCTGGTTTGAAAGCTGCTGTAATGGTTCTAGGGGTTGCTTGTGCATAAATCGGCGCCACACCGGGCTGGTTGCCTGAGTGAACCCTTTCTGTCTGGACAGCCACTCGCCCGTGGCTGTCTCAATCGCTGGCAGAATCCGTCAGTGGGCGTTTCTTGAACTTCTTCCAGCAAAGAAGCTCTTTGACGCCTAGTCTCCGCCTAGTCTCCCTGTGCGGAAGCCTTCTGCACAGGGAGGGTGTGGGCAGCGGAGGACCCGTGCTCTCCCCGCTGGTCCCCGGCGAGGAGTCTTGGAGCCACCTCGCCGATTCCCCCATCTGCCCCCCTTCTCCACTGGTGCTACGCTGATTTCCTTCCCCAGAAGATGTGCTGCTTCTCTCCCTCCCGGGACGCTCTCCGGAATCCCTCTGGAGCCCTCCCTCTCCCTCTGGCTCCAATGGCAGTTCCCTGACAGCTGGCAACCCTCGTCGGCTGCCAATGCTTTCAGGCCTGTGCCTTATGCCTCCTGTGTGTCCTGATTTTCCTTGTCCTGGGGTCTGCTGCCCATGGCCTTCCTTAAACCCTTTGCTCCCCTTGCTGCCTCTCATCAGGTCCGCTTGCCTTTTCCCTGCCTCTTTGCCCTTAGCTTAAATGATGCCCGTTGCCACCTACGCCCTGGCTTTCCCTTCCGACACCCACCCACAGCAATCGCTGCAGAGCGTTCACAAAAGCGCCACTTGGAGCAGCCAAAAGCGTAGCCCCCACACACAACATGCATATTCTTCTAGGCCCACTTGTCATCAAACGGAGACAAGCTATATACGGTTCTCCTTGTTACTAGGAACAGATGACCCATGGAAGGCTCTGTTTCAGGACCCAGCACTGATATGATTCCGACATGAAAGCTCCGGCGCTGCAAGTATCATTTCCCCCTCTGAGCTGATTTGCTACGCACAATGGCTAACTAATTACCTGCCTCTGGGACCAGAGAAAACGATTCATCAGATTGAGGAAGCTGAGGCCAAGCATTCTCAGCCTCAGCGGGACAAAGGCTCCTTTTCAATGTTTAAAGTACAGCTAAGTCGGAAGATGCAGGAGTGGAAGTTAAAATAAGATGCACAGCCAGCCTTCTCCCCATCTTTTACTCTCAGGGTTCCCAGGTGCCGTTGACTTTCTTTCTTTGCCTCTCTTCCTGTCCCTGGTCTGCTGCTTAAGAAAACTTAGTTTTAGTTAAGAATTAATTCATGACTTCTCCACTGTGAGGGTTAAACGTCAGAATGCAGTCCATCCTGTATACAGCCATCAAAAGGGAGCAACTACCAGGAGACAGAGAAAAGCAAAGACAAACCTAGATAGCAACTTAAAAAGCAGAGACATCACCTTGCCAACAAAGGTCTGTGTAGTTAAAGCTATGGTTTTCCCAGTAGTGATGTATGGAAGTGAGAGCTGGACCATAAAGAAGGCTGATCATAAGCAAAATTGATGCTTTTGAATTCTGGTGCTGGAGGAGACTCTTGAGAGTCCCATGGACTGCAAGAAGATCAAACTGATCCATTCTTAAGGAAATCAGCCCTGAGTGCTCACTGGAAGGACAGATCCTGAAGCTGAGGCTCCAATACTTTGGCCACCTCATGAGAAGAGAAGACTCCCTGGAAAAGACCCTGATGTTGGGAAAGATGGAGGGCACAAGGAGAAGGGGATGACAGAGGATGAGATGGTTAGACAGTGTTCTCAAAGCTACGAGCATGAGTTTGACCAAACTGTGGGAGGCAGTGGAAGACAGGAGTCCCTGGTGTGCTCTAGTCCATGGTGTCACGAAGAGTCGGACACAACTAAACGAATAAACAACCACAACAATCACCAGGAGACAAGCTACACCAGCCAAGGAAGCCTCCTTGTAACAACAGGTGTGTCCTTGTTCAATCCAGTCTTCCCCTTGTTTCACCTCTGCTTTTGCCTTATTCTGTCCTCCAAGGCACAGGAGCCAAGTCTGACATCTACAAAGGGTTCATGCCACTGCTGACACTCTTCGTCTATTGGCCATTAGAAATGTGCTGCCTGGTGGTCTCTGGTCAGCTCACAAAAATATGTTTTTATCTCCACACTTAATCTCTTTTTTGGGTCAGAGGGAACGACTCAATCCTCTGCTGCCTGTGGACCAACTCCACTCCGAAAGAGCCCAGAGTGGTATTTAATTGGTGTGTAAGATCAAGATCAGCCACCTGTTCCTATAAAGCAGGGGTCAGCAAACTTTTTCAGCAGGGGCCAGTCCACTGATCCTCAGACCTTGGGGGCTGGACTATATTTTTTTTTTGGGGGGGGGAATGAACAAATTTCTATGTGAGACAAATAACCCAGAGATGCCTTTTAAATAAAAGAACACATTCTACTCATGAAAAAACACGCTGATTCCTGGACCATCTGCAGGCCAGATTTAGAAGGCGATTGGGCCAGATCTGGCCCCCGGACCTTAGGTTGCCTACCCATGCTATAAAGGCTGCCTTGGGATGGAGTTCTATGGTTGCTGCCCTCCTGCCACCACCATGCAGTGATATCTGCAATGACTCCATGGCTCAATTTACCTGGAAATTTTTATTGTGAGAATTTCCAACTTTTAGCTGCCACCACAGAGCAGAAGACTAGCCAAGACACGCTTCTGCCCCTTTGCAGGAAGGGAAGTAAAAGTGACTGGGCTTTGCCAACGGAAGAGCAAAGAGCACTTTGGGGAACCTACTATTTTGTTCCACCCGGCAAAAGTTCACTATTTGCCTTTTGCAATCAGAAGAATACTGTGGCAAATCTTTCCCTGTGACATTCAGTCTCTCTCTCTCTCTCTCTCTCTCTCTCTCTCTCTCTGTGTGTGTGTGTGTGTACTACTTTGTCAGGGAGGTGGTTAGGATAAAACCTCGTGTGTATCTATATCAATCTATCAATCTATCATCTATCGAGACAAATATATAAGGTATATGTCATTGGTAGGCAAACTAAGGCCTGGGGGCCAGATCCGGCCCAATCGCCTTCTAAATCTGGCCAGTGGACAGTCCGGGAATCAGCGTGTTTTTACATGAGTATAATGTGTTCTTTATTTAAAATGCATCTTTGGGTTATTTCTGGGGCATAGGAATTAGTTCATTCCCCCCCCCCTTCAAAATATAATCCTGCCCCCCACAAGGTCTGAGGGACAGTGGACCAGCCCCCTGCTGAAAAAGTTTGCTGAACTGACCCCTGGTATATGTGAACACTCAAACATGTAATCTCTAACTGCAGCCTGCAACAGTACAGCCCAGCAAGAGAACAATTTCTGTGTGTCTCGTATGCATGTGGCCCAGTTCTATATTGGACTGTAAAGAGGGCCTATAGCTGGGAGAACTGGTGAAGGTGATGGACTATATGGAATTGGCAGAAATGACTGGCAGAATCCGAGACCAGGGAGAAGAGTTGGTGGAAGAAGATTGGAAGAAATTTAAAGACTACTTGCAGAAATACTGTAAAATTAAGGAATGTTAAAATGATGTTGGATTGAAAATAAGTGGTATTGGTAACAAGGTTAATAAGAATATGCAAATATGGACTGATAATGGATGAAAATGCATAGTTATAATAGGTCAAGATATAGAGTTAAGATAAATGAAAGAGGGCAAGGATTTGCTGAATGGATTATGTAAATGGGAACACAAAAAGGGGAGGTGTGAGGAGGTCAAGGAAACAAGCAAATGAACTTAAAGATATTGAAAAATGGATTTTTTATTTTTTCTCAGCTATTTGTTTTTTGAACTTTGTATTTTTTCTTTCTTTCTTTTTTCTTTTCTTCTATGTTTTCTTTTTAGTATGTTAATTACTGTTTTAATTTTTTTATTCTGTAAATCTATGTTTTTTGTAAAACGCTAATAAATATCTTATAAATATATATATATATATATATATATATATATATATATATATATATATATATAGCTGGGAGAACTGGAGCTCCTTTACATTAGGATCTCACAGTGGGGCAAGCATTGTCAGAAAAGCAACAACGGGGTAATCACTTTATTCCTCTCGGAGTTGGTCAGGACGGGGTCCTCCGCTGCCAAGGCAATGCTGCTTGCTGCAATCACCAGAAGGATGCACATCTCAAAATAGCGCAGGTTGACAATGTAATGGCAGACTCTTCGGATTCTGTCAGGGAAAGAACACAGAGTGGTCAGTGTGATATATGGTCACCGATCTCACACACACAGTTCCGATCCTTTAAGGCCCTTCCATGTGCTCTAACTACCTTCCAAAATAGCATCCATTCTGGAACTTGGCCGTGACACTGGAATATGACAGAAATGATGCTGGATTATTTTTTTTTTTGGGGGGGGGGGAGGACAATGACATTTTACACACCAAGGTGATTCAGACTTAGATCTCCCACCTAGATAACAAACCAGCTCACTGTTCCCATTTCACTCACCAAAATCTCATAGGTCACTCGGCCGATGGGTCTTGAACTATCTGTGAGGAAACCTACCCAAATCAACTTGTTTTCTGTGGAACCCTGGCATGTTGTAAAGGGCTCCCGGGAGTGTGTTTTTTAAGCAAGCTTGAAAACCAACACATTATGCATTTCAAGCAGAAAAGCTAAGGCAGTGTATCTCACGGGTTTGTGGTGCTGAAGATAAACATCGAGCTGTGAGGCACCATGGGTTTGCCTACGGGTTTCTTCTTTTTCTGCTTCTTCTTCTTCTTCTCTGCCTCTGCTTCCTCCTCTTCCTTTGTCTCTGCCTCCTTCAAAGGGCTGGCTTCTCCATCTGTCTTGTTGCTAACTAGAAAGTGAACAAGGCCCGTTACTGCTATGGCTGGGGGAAAATGCATTTGACACAAAGCCAGAAGGGAGTTCATAGGCTGGACGCGTTACTTACCTTATAGTCCCAGAGTTTGGGAAAACAAGAGACCGGAGGAGAAACAAGAATCGGGGGCAGGGGGGTGTGGGCAAAAATATACTTAAAGATACTTAAAAAGATGCAATCATACAAAAAAATGACTGCTTGCATAAACTCACAGCAAATAATGGATGCTGAGTCCTGTTAGCAGGACTGTATCTGTTGTGGGCTAAAAATATTTTTATGTGTGTGTGTGGGGGGGGAGGCTGGATGCCTAGACCCTTCTAATTCCTGGATGAAGCATGAATTCAATTCCTGGAAAAGCCCAGCTAGTTTCCTGGTGAGGCAATGGCCCTCTACGTATGATACGATACGATAATCTTTATTGTCATTGTCCCGTACAGAACAACGAAATTGAAAAAATCTACATCAGACATTTTAAAACGAACAAGCCTGCTATCCCAGCCTGGTTAGCCCCCTAAAAACTCTGATACCCCTTAATTAAATACAATATACTCCCACAGAGACTACCTTACACTGCGTTTAAAACCAAAATCACATTTGGATAAAAACTGTTTCTCAGGCGGCTAGTCCTAGTCTTTATAACCCTGTACCTTCTTCCAGAAGGCAGAAGCTGAAAGAGATCATTTCCGGGGTGCGCACTATCCTGCGCTATCTCTGCAGCTTTCTTATGACACCTGGAAGCATAGATTTGATCCAAGGTGAGAAGAATGCACCTAATTATTCTCTCCGAAGTATGGGCCATTAAAGTAGCAAAGGAAGTGGATCTATATCAGATGACAAATGAGGGGGGCTTTCCTTCAACACGCTGGTAGGTAGAAAGACAAAAGCAAGAGTGGAGGGTTGAGTTGTATGTAAGCTGGAAGATGGAAGAGAAAGAGAGAGAGCCATGCCTGATTTCTCTTGGAATCCAAGGCTGTGGCTATGGGGTAAGCAAGACCCTCTTGGAGTGTTAATGCTGTGAAGCCCTCCATCATAGGCTCAGGTTCTGCATATGTGCAAATAAACCATATATTATAAAGACACCGCTGTCTCTGCTGCCCCTCATTCTGAAACCCGAACTCTGTGTAAGCTCCTGGAACCCCCCTGGAATCTTATGCCCCTCAGAGATTGGGGTGGCACGCAACAATATTAATAGCAACAACATTCTGCGCACCAGCAATCCAAATTACAGGCCAAGGAACATAGAATTCTGCAGCCTGTAATTTGCATAATTTATTCTGCAATTGGTCCTGTTTTGCATGAGATATTCTGGTCTAGCAAGTGATGGGGAGAACAAAGAGCTCTGCAAAGCTGGGAAGCCGTGCTCCCAAACACTTGACATTTTATTCAGCAATTATTCTAGTTTCCGAGATTTCAAGAGATATTGCCCACACACTGTGGGTGAATGCATAATCGCTTGATTATGCCTATGGCTGCCTATGTTGCCATTTCTCTTGCTTCTCCTGATCAGGTGCAGAAATATGGGCCAAAGTTCTGATTCACTTGGTAGAACCAGCCTAGTGCGCAACATGGAAAATTAACAATGGGAATATCACCATCTCTCCTCTTCCATAAGGGCTGGAAACCTTTTTAAAGCTGAACTGTGTATGCGCCCATTGGCCCATACTGCACTTTTCTTGCGCTGCCTGAAGATTCGCAGCCTAATTACAGCTCTGTCTGTCTAACACTTCCTTCCCCAGCTGTTGCAATGCAAACGCAGCACAGGAGAACTGGCAGGTAGAGGAAGACATTTCTGCAGAAAAGGTGTGAGCAAGGGATTGCTGCTTTACATTCACACCTCCTGGTTCTGCAGTTAGTAAGAAGGTGATTAGGAGGAGATGAAATGGGAAAATAAGAGAGAACATGAGAGGCTGTCAAGCACAGGGAAAGAGAGACAAAAGTGACTTGAGCGAGGCACTTTTTGGCGATGCTGATGAATTAATCTCCGTATTTAAATTCTTTCACCTGGAAGGTGAAGAAGAACATTCTTCCAGGTGTTTGTGAATGGCAAATGCTAAAGAAACACCCTCCTTGTTTCTGACAGCTGCCAGATCCAAGATACCTACTTGGAGAAGCTGGCCGATCAGCTCCCAAATTATTCGGACGGTGCCTTTGGCTGCTAAGGGGAAGGACTAGATAATTTCCTGGAAGAGAGGGCTCTTGTGCTCACGTTCTGCTCTGTGAGAACAGCATCCTGGGTCAGCGGTCTGATCCAGCAGGATCTTCTTATGTTCCTAGGAAGAGCAAAGAATTTCAGAGCCACACAGAGCTCTTCTTCTCCTTATAACTATGACAAAGTTGGGCAAACCAAGAAAGTTTAAAACTGCGCAGAAACCACAACATTAGAAACGAGCAGATTCAAGGGAATGAGATAAACAAGAAAAAGAAGAAGTTATTTTTATACGCAGTGACTGCAGCAAGAATATTGATGGCCCAGAAATGGAAACAAGAGGAGCTGCCTACGATAGAAGATTGGAGAGCCAAAATGATGGACTATGAGGAATTGGACAGAATGACAGGAAGGATTCGGAATCGACGAGATCAAAGATTTACAGAAGATTGGGAGAAGTTTATTCAATATTTGCAAAAACTAAGTGATAACCAGATTACGTTTGTAAGTTTTAAGGAAGCTCTGTGATGTGAAAATCTAATAATAAGTATAAACAATGAAATTATTAAGTAATAGGTTAGACTGTTAAGATAAACTATTTAATAAAAATTGAGAAAGATGGAAAGAATTTGCTGAAACAACTAATTAAGCTAGAATACAAAAAGGGAGGTGTGAGGAGGTCAATGAAACAAGCAAATGAAAGGTAAAGATATGCAAAAAAGGATCTGCAATTTGTTTTTTCTTTTCTTGTTGTGTTGTTGTATTGATTTTTTATGTATTTTTTCCGTTTTTCTTTTTTCTTTTTTATATATTGTGGTGTTGTTTTTTCTTGTTTTTTCTTCTTTCTTTCTGTAATTTTGAAACTCTTAATAAATATTATTAAAAAAAATAAACAATGAAATTGAAGCTACCAGAATAAATAACAATAAGTAGGATTGTGTTAAAAGTTATAAAATGAAGGAAGTTCAGACAAATTGAGGGAAGTAAAAAAATGGAATTAAGAGGTAATTACGAAGTTTGAATGTACAACTTTGTTTTCTTTTTTTGTATTTGTAAACCAATAAAAATATAATTCAAAAGAAAGAAAGAAAGAAAGGAAGGAAGGAAGGAAGGAAGAAACGAGCAGATTCATGTTGCCTTACTCTGCCCTAGCCTACCGAAGCATAAGGGCACCTGCAAGAATTGGTGTGGATGCCTTTTCTTGCTACCCACGAAAGCTGCCAGTCCTTTGCATGAAGGCCGACTGTCGCCCATCCCTGTGAGAACTATATTTAGAGCAGAAGATGCTTATATAAAGCTTTACCAAAGGCAGAGAAACAGGAAGATTGTAAGCGAAGGAATGGGAAAGGGGGAAGGACGCAACAAAGCAGGTGAGAAGAAGACAGGAATCAGGAGCACGTGAGATAAGGAACTGAAGACTGGCTAGTGAGGAAAACTACATGAGGAACTGGGGCAGAGCTCAATGGCAGAAAAGGTCCTAGGCTCAGCCCTCAGCACTTCCAGCTCCCAAAAGTAGTGGGGCAGAAGGAAGGGAAGGGCTAAGAAAGCCACTTCTTGTAGAGCCGATACCTGTTTGAACAGGCAATACATGGACCAAAGTTCGGGGTCAGTAGCTCCATATAGAAGTAAGGCTAAACTATGGTTTAGGGTTACAAGAATGAACCGCAGTCTCTGACTCACATGCCCTCTCTCCTCTAGTGCCGACACAAGGTGGAGCTCAGAAGCTTTCACTTCCATTTTAGATCAAGCCACAGCTTGCCATTTTTGTCAAAAACGGTGGTGCATTTAAATTACCATATAATAATAATAATAATAATTTATTATTTGTACCCCGCCCATCTGGCTGGGTTTCCCCAGCCACTCTGGGTGGCTTCCACAAAGACCAAAAATACACTAAGATGTCACACATTAAAAACTTCCCTGAACTGCCTTAAGATGTCTTCTGAATGTCAGGTAGTTGTATATCTCTTTGACATCTGATGGGAGGGCGTTCCACAGGGCGGGCGCCACTACCGAAAAGGCCCTCTGCCTGGTTCCCTGTAGCTTTGCTTCTCACAATGAGGGAACCGCCAGAAGGCCCTCGGCGCTGGACCTCAGCGTCTAGGCAGAATGATGGGGGTGGAGATGCTCCTTCAGGTATACTGGGCTGAGGCCGTTTAGGGCTTTAAAGGTCACCACCAACACTTTGAATTGTGCTCGGAAACATACTGGGAGCCAATGTAGGTCTTTCAAGACCGGTGTTATGTGGTATTGGCGGCCGCCCCCAGTCACCAGTCTAGCTGCCGCATTCTGGATTAGTTGTAGTTTCCGGGTCACCTTCAAAGGTAGCCCCACAAAGAGCGAATTGCAGTAATCCAAGCGGGAGATAACTAGAGCATGCACCACTCTGGCGAGACAGTCTGCGGGCAGGTAGGGTCTCAGCCTGCGTACCAGGTGGAACTGGTAGACAGCTGCCCTGGACACAGAATTGACCTGCGCCTCCATGGACAGCTATGAGTCCAGAATGACACCCAGGCTGTGCACCTGGTCCTTCAGGGGCACAGTTACCCCATTCAGGACCAGGGAGTCCTCCACTCCACCCCGTGTGAAACTAGCAGACATTGGACTGCAGCTGACTAGCTTCATCTCAACTTCACAGCTAAGTTGAAGCACCATTTAGGGGCCAGGTGACACGCCGAAATGTGGCTAGTTAGAATGAAAGCAGGAGTTTGTGGTCTTCTCCTTGAGGTTACACTGAGGGAGCAGAGGGGATGGAGGAGCCTGTGTCCCTGAGGCTCACTGTGGCTCACTGTTGTAACACTAAACTATGGTTCAGAGCTACGTCAAAATGCAACCAGTGTAAGGCAACATCGTAGAATAAAAAGGAAAGGGCAACACACCTCAAGCAGAACTGGATGACAGCACTGAACTAGGTAACAAACTAGAAATAATAAAACTTACAATGCTGAGGTAAATCTGTGAGGTGACTTAACAACAGGCTTTGCCCGCTTGGCCTATGGCAGCAAATGGCGTGGATCATTTTGATGTCATATCCTATGTTTCTATAGCTGCATGCTATGAGGGAAAGGAGAGGGAACTTGATGGCAGTTGCCCTGTTAACTTAGAAGGATCAGGGGCCCCCAAACCTGCCAAGAGCTTTAAAAATATATTCTATCCATAAAATATATTCTATCCATAAAACACAAAAACGAAGAAAGTTCTTGCATCCTCTGTGACCACCAGAACTTCCTTTCCGAATGGCCGCCCTGTTGTGGGATATGGATAAATAGTTTGCTTCAAGTCATATAAACTCTGGCTTTGGGGTTTTTTTTGCATCGTATTTTAACAGCAAGAATGGAAAGAAAGCACTCGTCAGAACAAGAGAAGGTTGCAGCACAAGACTTGAAATGCACCAGAAAAATTTTGCAAGGAAAGAGAGTCTGCAGGACTTAGAATGTGTTGGATTTACATAACAAAATTTGTTTTGGATTCCCGTCTTGAAGGACAGCTTTCAGCAGCCCTTTCACCGATTTGTTCTATGGCTAGACAATAAAACTGACGGATTGAATTTGCTGTCAAGGGGCGGTTCTGCCTACACAGCCAAGAGATCAAATTCTCCATCTTTTGTCGCTGGGACTTAGGGTGCAACTAGACGTGACAACCGTATTTTTCTGAAAATGGACATGGGGCGGGGGGGGGGGGCAAGTTAAAATGCAGCGTGTGTGGGAAGAGGGAACTGAACGAGAAAAAACATAGCTTAATTTTTCCTACCACGCCAGGAGAAAAATGGGGCTTAAAATGATCAGGTTTTAGGGAACGCCTGAGTGGAAAGAGGACATTTCCAATTGCCCCTCCCCCCCCCGCCCTGCTTTGCAGGGATTTGGTGGCAGCACACCCAGTTCTGCCCATGCGACTACCAACACCATGTCCAGTTTTGACAGGTCTCTCTTGGGAGCGTTGCAGCATCCCTGGGGCGCTAACTTCTATTGTGGCTCCCTGGGGTTTGCACTCCAATGTGCAGCTAGCCAGCATATCTGGCTGGTGGGGAAGAAGGGAGAGAATGGGGAAGGCTCTCTCCTCACTGCCCCTGCTGCTGCTCTTGCCACTGTTGCTCGACAAGCAAGCTGACAGAAGGAGGGGAGTGTGTCTGGATCAGAGCCTGGGACGAATATGAACCTTCAAAGCTCATACATCCTTTGAGGTGGCTTTCTACAAGTTCATATCTGAAGACGTTTGCTGGCATCACAGGCTCTGACTTCAGCAATCCCTGTGCAAGTGATGCCGCTACAATTGAAATCTGCTTCACACAAATAGCTCCCTGCATGGATGTGAGAAATACAACCCCCCAGCTCTGTTTTCAAGGCTCAAGCAGCCCTTCCTCCCCTAAGGGCCAGCAGGTCCTCCTTCCCTTGGTCAGCAACTACTTTTGTCGCTGGGCCAAATTTGGTCCTACTAAGCCATATCTGCAACCTATCCTTCACACCTAAAGGAGTGTCCAGAAAACACATTCCACGCAGCCATTTTTCCTAGTACATCCCTGTTCCATTTCCAGGTTGGCAGCTGCGCGGCTAAGCAGCACCTCAACAACACCAGTTGCTGACCTCCTGTTATAAACGGAAACAGACGTGTTTCTCGTTCACTGTCTGTCACAGTTGTGTATTGACTTAAAGTGCAGACTTCCATGTGCGAATTGGGCCATCCAACCTAGACAGCATCTTAAAAAGCAGAGACGTCACCTTGCCAACAAAGGTCCGCATAGTTAAAGCCATGGTTTCCCCGGTAGTGATGTATGGAAGTGAGAGCTGGACCATAAAGAAGGCTGATCACTGAAGAATTGATGCTTTTGAATTATGGTGCTGGAAGAGTCCCATGGACTGCAAGAAGATCAAACCTCTCCATTCTGAAGGAAATCAGCCCTGACTGCTCACTGGAAGGACAGATCATGAAGCTGAGGCTCCAATACTTTGGCCACCTCATGAGAAGAGAAGACTCCCTGGAAAAGACCCTGATGTTGGGAAAGATGGAGGACACAAGGAGAAGGGGACGACAGAGGACGTGATGGTTGGACAGTGTTCTCAAAGCTACCAGCATGAGTTTGACCAAACTGCGGGAGGCAGTGGAAGAAGGGAGTGCCTGGCGTGCTCTGGTCCATGGGGTCACAAAGAGTCGGACACAACTAAATGACTAAACAACAACAAGATATAATGCCACAGAAGAAACATTAATTATCTCCCCTTGCTGCTTCAAAGTGCAGCACTTTTCAGTACAGCTGGACTGATACAACCTGCTGAAAATCATCCACGTGTAGAGAAATACATAAGTAGCAGTCAAATACAACATTCCTTGTTTTCCTAGAGTGGACATGCAAGGGGATGTTTGGTCCAGCCAGTCGGAACTTCCTGTTTCCTCCTGGGCTGGGACATACTTCCTTTGTATGCGACTAGAGGTGGGCGTGACCTTACCTGTGCAGGTAACAAAAGCACAAGGCACGCAGCACTCTCTCGCTCTTTGACTTCCTTTGTCGTAGGAGCAACAGCTTTTTAGCTAGAGATGCTCTATTGGCTTTCAGACAATAGAGGACACTGGGATTATTCCCATATGGGATAGTTCCACATGTATAGCCTTTGTAACTAAGTCTGCCTTCAGGGATCCAACTGTGAACTGATGATGTTGTGAGTAAACTTCTTTTATTGACTTTAAATAAGATTGCTGTGTGTTTATTCTTTTGAGAGGGATAAAAGGGGAACTCACCAGGAACATACAATTCAGTACTGAATTGTATGATAGTGAGAGGCTTAAACGAGCCTGCAACCAGCTAGCAGCTGTGCGTAAAAAGGAGAATGTAAAACTCTGCTAAGTAAAGGAACTTGCTAGCGCAAGTTAGGAAGGATGTTAACAAACAATATAACCTCTCCTGCCTCCCTGAACATTCCCACAAAATCAAGGGGGGTACATGCTGCTGTTCACCAGGCCTTTGAGATGCCCTGATCCCCCATCCCACAAAAAAATGTTTGGCAGACCCACACGGCACTATTCCTAGTCACCCTTGAACAAACTGAGCTTTTGTTGTCAAACGGGAAAAGAGAGAGATCCTCACTCTGTACCACAGCAGAGTCTTGGACGTCAATCATGATGGTGGTGCTCTCGGTGGCTTTCTCCATGTTGGTTGTGACGGAGGAGAGATCGGGCTCACTCCTGCTGATAGTCCTGCCTGTCTCCATGGGCAGGTCCCCCAGGAGCGCCTGCTCACTTGTATCCAAGCTGCTGCCATCCTGCTCAGTTGGACTAGCATCCTTGCCTTTGTCCAGCTCAAGGTGGCCTTCCGAGGGGCTTGGCTCTTGGGGGGCCGCTGCAAACTCGGCATCTTTGGCTGGGGCTTCATTGGTCCTACATGGAGGAGAAGACAAGCTCACACAGAGAGGAAGTGGCAGAGACCAAGGAACTGCGCTGGTGGGCAGCAAGAAGAAAAACATTGCCTACAAGATTTACATAACGCTTCCAAAGCATTTCCAGATACACCAACTCATAAATCATTGCAAAAGCACTGCTTGCAGGACTTCTGCAAGATGTGCCAGGATCCTGTTGGGCAGGTGGTGTAAACACCTCCACAGGGGTAGCTGCGGTAGGCGGTGTACAAACCATATATTTAAAGCACACCTACATCCCCACAAAATAATCCAGAGAGCCATATTCTGTTAAGGGCTCTAGGAATTGGTGTAAATAACCGCTCCCAGAATTCTCAAGAGGGTTGGGATTTAAATGCAGGGTGTGTATATATATAAGCAGCCTTAGTTTGCGGCAGGAAAAAAAGGAACAACGAATGAGCAAAATTATTATGGCATGCTCTTTGTTGTTCCTATTGGGGTGGGGTTGACGTGGCTTCCTGAAGGTTGCCCTGTAAGATCTGAACTGGGAATGTCATTGCTCACAGCCCCTAAACTATAAAGGTAAAGGTAAAGGGACCCCTGACCATTAGGTCCAGTCGCAGACGACTCTGGGGTTGTGGCGCTCGTCTCGCTTTATTGGCTGAGGGAGCCGGCGTACAGCTTCCGGGTCATGTGGCCAGCATGACTAAGCCGCTTCTGGCGAACCAGAGCAGTGCAGGGGAACACCGTTTACCTTCCCGCCGGAGCTGTACCTATTTATCTACTTGCACTTTGACGTACTTTCGAACTGCTAGGTTGGCAGGAGCAGGGACCGAGCAACAGGAGCTCACCCCGTCACAGGGAACCGCTGACCTTCTGATCAGCAAGCCCTAGGCTCTGTGGTTTAACCCACAGCACCACCCGCATCCCTCCCCTAAACTATAGCAGCTGCCAAAGAAAGTTGTGGGCTGGTTTAAAAATAGAGGAGGGGAGAGCAAGAAACTTTAGGCACATCTGCACTCAGCTCACACCATTTGATTGCAAACTTAATTAAAACCAGAATAATTAACACCTCCTGATTTCAGAAATTGGAACAATCATTCCACACAGAAGCATATATCGAAAAACAGTCATCCCCCCTTAAGTGCTTGGATTGTTAATGCTGAATTTTAGTCTGTTAGAATACAACAAGTCAAATTAAAAATAACCTGAAAGTAAAAACCACGACACCCCGAAGGTTGTTGAACTTTTTCTAGAAAGACCCCAAAAATTGTTGAGCTTTTTTTTTGATTGACTTGCCTAAGATCCAGGACAAAGCGCCACATTTCTGAAATTTCCCCGGACATCATTTCTGCCTTTGAAATCCCGGTTATGTCCGGGAAAATCCAGATACATGGTAGTCCTAACGTACTGCGAATGTGCAAAACGTCCCAGAAACAAAACTGGGAGGAGACCCCATCCACTTCTGAATCCCCTTCCATTACCTGTCCTCAATCACCATTTTCAAGATCTCCAGAGTCCTAAAAATATATTGCTTCATGGTATATTGCTGGTGAATTGTGGGTGCTGCAAGCAACCAGTCACCTGACCAGGATCCAGATTCTAGGACCATCCTTTAAGGTCAGACCTGACTGAACTCTAGAATTCAGATTCGAGGGAAAGCTGCTAATATCAGTTTGCCAGCTCCAGCTGCTCAGAAGCTTGCCAGGTGAGGCTCAAAGACTGCGGAGGCTTTTAGGACAATGGCTTCAGAAACCATTCTGGTTCCTTCAGCCCTTATTAGATAGTCTTAACAACTGACTACATTCTTAATGAACATTCCTCACTGACTGCCAGAGACTGGGGTTGATGCATGTGGAATTTCTGGCCTTGTGTACCAAAATAACAAATTACCTTTGGGTAATTGGGCAAGGTAAAGGTAAAGGAAAAGGACCCCTGGATGGTTAAGTCCAGTCAAAGGTGAATATAGGGCTGTGGCATGCATCTCTCTTTCAGGCCAAGGAGCCGGCATTTGTCCACAGACAGCTTTCCGGGTCATGTGGCCAGCAGGACTAAACCACTTCTGGCACAATGGGACACCGTGACGGAAACTAGAGCGCACGGAAACACCGTTTACTTTCCTGCCGCAGTGGAACCTATTTATCTACTTGCACTGGCGTGCTTTCGAGCTGCTAGGTTGGCAGGAGCTGGGACAAAGCAATGGGAGCTCACCCCGTCGCAGGGATTCAAACCGCCAACCTTCTGATTGGCAAACCCAAGAGGCTCAGTGGTTTAGACCACAGAGCCACCTGTGTCCCATGCACAGTAACTGGGCACCTTGGCTTGGTGGACGGAGGCATTTGCTGCCCCTGCTCAGGCAGCGACATGTCTTAGGGGCCAGCAATGGGTTTGCAGCATACATAATCGACAGGCACAACAGCCGAGAAGGGAAGTAGGAGATGAGGGTGGCTGTGTGTTTGAGTCTGTGTTCAGCCGCTTTGTTTGACGGCGCTGCTGCTTGTTGAGAAGAAGAACAAATACACAGATCCATCTATCACACTTTCCATCCCTGCATCTCCGGGCAGCAAAAAATTACTGCTTGCAACGTGTAGCATGGCCAGACCAATAATTAGGAATCTGAGAGGGCACTGTTTTCATGGCCAACTAAAAATGTGTTTGTGTAACTTTGCTTAGAAAGAGGTGCCAAAAGGAAAAAAAAGGTGTCAAACCGCACAGAACGGCATTATATTCTCTGAAAGTAATTCAACTAGCACACAAAGAAACAAGCCGAGAATTCAAAAGAGAAAAGACTCATACACAAAAGACAGATTTATAATAATATAAGCCTGCCAGCTTTAAGAAAAAATTACGCATGTGCTTCTGCATTGTAGAGAGAGAGAGATGTTTTTGTTGTAAGTTATTTGTTATAGGACAATAAAAATATCTGATTTTTTAAAAATATATAAAAAACATTGCAAATGAATTATCATGTTCTCTTCGATCCTAGCGCTTTCCCCCTGTCTCATATTTTCTGTGTCAGGTGGTTTGGCTCTGGCTTCCAGCCAACTTGACAGCTACCTCACGCCAAAACAGCAGTTTGCACACTCTATGGTCATGCAAATAATGCTGTAATTCCTTACACCATCTGAACGTGTAAAAATTCTCATTGCCCACCACCCAATGATGATCCAGCATGGCCAGTTAATGACTTCTGGGTTTGTTTGTTTTTACAAACGTTATTTTAAACATCTTCTTCAATTCATTATATATCATTCCCCACGTGAGTGTACTTGGTTTCCCCTTGCGCCCCTTACCTTTTCAGCTCCTCGCCAACCACCGGCTCCTTTTCGATCAAGCCCTCCTTTTCCTCCTCGTTCTTCTTCTGCTCCTGGTTCTGCTCTCCCTCTGCGGGGCTGACCGCTTCGGGGCCGGCCTCTTGGCTGGCCGACCTGTTCTCCTTGGCTTCCGTCCTCACCCTGCGATGTCGGCTGCGCCTCTGGCTTTGCCTGAGCCGGGCCCTGTCCTCAAAGGTCACGCTCGCTCCGCCTTCCTGCTCGTTCAGATCGCAGTTCCCGTGGAAGGATTTGTGGTGCCACACGCTCTTCTGGTCTTCCATGCTGCCTGGGCAGGGATTGGAACCTGGGATTTGCAGGGCCGTCCCTTCTTCGTTTGCCCGCTCTGACTTTTCCGTCCGCTCCTCCTCGTTCTTTTCGAGGCCACTGTTCTCCAGCAGCCTTCTCCTCCGAAAAGCGTTGGCATGAGGGTTGAGCAGAGAAGGGTCGTCCTTGTTGATGCCCTCCTGGCTGGACATCTGCATGTGGCGGCGCAGCTGGCTGGTCCGCTGTTCCCACACAGACATATGATGCCTCCTTCTCCTCTCCCTCCTGGGAAAGGAAAACAAAGGGGTTCAGTCCACCTGCGCCCTGCCAGAAACACAAGAATACAAACCAGTACATACAGCATGCACCTGCCACCATTCAGACATCACATACGGAGACTTGATTCTCTGCTCCCCTGCATTTTACAAATAGACAGCCCAGCCAATGGAATTTCTCAGCCCTTCAAAAATCACACCATCTGCAGGATCTTGAGAGAATCAGGCCCACTTGTATGAGATCCACAGATAACTACAAACCGCCCCGCCCCACATTCCAATAGGCACAGGGGGGACAAGTCCCAAGCGACAGGGGAATGCACATAAAGAAACAGGACACAATCACTAAGACACAAGAAGCTTCTTTCTTTCTTTTTTTAACAATCCCTGTGATGGGGTGAGCTCCCGTCGCTCGGTCCCTGCTCCTGCCAACCTAGCAGTTCGAAAGCATGTCAAAGTGCAAGTAGATAAATAGGTACCGCTCCGGCGGGAAGGTATATGGCGTTTCCGTGCGCTGCTATGGTTCGCCAGAAGCGGCTTAGTCATGCTGGCCACATGACCCAGAAAAACTGTCTGCGGACGAACGTCGGCTCCCTCGGTCTGTAAAGTGAGATGAGCGCCACAACCCCAGAGTCGTTTGTGACTGGACTTAACGGTCAGGGGTCACTTTACCTGCCCCCGCCCACACCATATAGCCTGAGTACATGGCATCATTCTGCTTGTACGTTAATTTTAAATAAATCTGCAGTTCAGTTGAGCAAAGAAACATGTGCAAACAGCCATGTTCGTTTGTGTGCTGTTGCGTGAAAGAGCAGGGGCCAGTCACAGCCGGCCCACCTAGAAGGCAAATGGGACATTTCCATTACGGCTCTGCAGGGGGTGAGGATCAGCCAGCAGGGGAAGGAAGGGCAGTGGGACCCATGCTCTGGGTGCAGGCAGGAACAGGGAAAGGAGAGGCATGCAGTGCCAAGCCTCATTTAAACCACTCTGTCTAGAGCAGGCTTCCTCAACCTCGGCCCTCCAGATGTTTTGAGACTACAATTCCCAGCATCCCTGACCACTGGTCCTGCTAGATAGGGATCATGGGAGTTGTAGGCCAAAAACATCTGGGGGGCCGAGGTTGAGGAAGCCTGGTCTAGCTGCTCAGCACCAGGACTTGGGAGCAAAGTCCACCCCAGACCCGTTAGAGACCCAAAGTCTTATCTTGAGAGCTGAGCAGTGCCTCTCATCTCTTGTTATCACCCCACCCACTAAGGCTGCCATTCAAACTGAATCTCCATGGCACAAAGGGCAACTTACTTGTGAGTAAATGCACAGAGAATCAAACTGCCCGATATTCCCAGATTCTGGCTTTGAGTTTCTGGGGGCTTGAGTGTTTTTAGTGAAGGTGTGCCATCACTCACGAAGCTAAACTCTCTGCGTAGAATTGTGGAGTTGGAAAGGAGAATGAGAGCCATCTAGCCCTTGGAAGGCAAGAAACTGTTGCCCAACTTGGGGCTTGAACCCATGACCTTGAAATTGAGAGCTTCATTCTGTACTGACTGACCTATCCGTCATTTCTGGCATGTAATGTTCATCTAGTCTCACGGCCGTTTCTCTTGATAGGATATTCCAAAGGGACTTAAAGCTCCGGTGAGATTTCTGTCACGAGAACGCCTGTCGGTAGCATTGACTGTTCTGAGGGTGTTTTGTGGGTTTATAAAATATTGTAAGAACTGCACACAGGAACACTGTGAACAGACAGACGTACCAACGCAGGCATACATACATACACAAAACACACACACATACTGCTTGACACATGTCAGCAAGCACCCACACCTTAATTTTGCCTACACAAATATACATAGAGAAATGTGTGTGTGTGTGTGTGTGTGTGTGTGTGTGTGTGTGTGTAGAAATGTACACACCCTGATAGTGATGTTAAGATGCTTCCTAGGTACACATCGCACCACCACCCAGAGGCACACAATGCGAACAAACACACACACACTTGTACAAATAGAACACGCACAAATTATAGGCCCACACAAATTCACAGGGGGTTGGTTCGCACACGTACCTACATACATATTCACACGACACAAGCACAAAGTAACACACACACACAAACCTCACAAAGCAAGTCTTTCACGTACACACACAAAACCTCTCACAACAAGCAGTCACATGCACACATACAGGTTGCTGGTGCGCGGTTCCCACATCGACATGTGGTGTCTCCTCCTTCTGTCTCTTCTGGGGAAGAAAAATGAATGGGTTCAGTCTATGACATTGTCACGGGGTCTCCGCACTCCCAGGGCGTACAACTCCACGGATGCTCAAACAGAGAGCCAGGGGTGCTCTAACACTTGTGCGCAGATGTCATTCATAATCCACGCCTCACTCAAGTACAGGACATTTAATATGAATACAGGAGAGTAGAGGATATCCGCTTCTGCACAGCTAGGATATGGCCAGTATACAAAATATCAGCTACTTGAAAACAATTGCTCTACACTTGCTTATATGCACAGAGAGCTGCGTGGGCCGAGGGTCAAAGCTCAGTGGGAGTGTTTATGCTTCTGCCCATCTGAAACCTGAGGTGATCCTCAGCATTTCAATATAAGGACGGCAAGTAGCAATGCTGGTAAAGAGATCCGGATGGTGAGAAAACAAAGGGTGTTTTTTGCTAGCAAGAATGGCTCAGTGGGATCACTCTCCAAAAGCTGAGCAAGTCCAAAAGGGTGGGGCCTGCTTAATATACATAGCTGTTATCTGTTGAAGCAATACATATGCATAAATTTTCTCCAGTCTAAAGTGACAACACAATACGAATTATACCACGTATGGTCTTTCCTTCATTACCTATTCATTTCCGCAGGGCCTGTAAGACGGAGTTGTTCCACCTGGCCTTTGGCTTGGAGTCAATTTGATTCCCTCCCCCTCTTTCTTTTTTCCTTTCTCCTCCTGTGATGAGGCAGCATTTTAATTTTAACGTTTCAATGTTTCAATGTTGTATTTTAATCTTGTTTTTAAGTTGTATCCATTCAACTTGTTTTTATTATTGCTTGTTAGCCGCCCTGAGCCCGGCCTTGGCTGGCGAGGATGGGGTATAAATAAAAAATATTATTATTATTTATTATTATTATTATTATTATTAGGCAAGGAAACAAAGGACTCTCTCTCTAAGCAGCCCCTGCTGCACGTGGTCTCTTTGCATTCCTTTCTACCTGAGGGAGTTAGCACATTTGAGCAGAGCACGTCTCATTGTCAAATGTAGACACTTAGGAATGTTGTTTACAACCTTGGGAGTAAAGCTGCTCCTAGCACAAGATAAGGCACAAGGCCTCTAGCCTGGCTAGTTAGCTGACCTTATAGGTCTCTATGTGCACCAGAAGTCCCAGAAGTGTAAAAGCAAGCTAAACCGATGCAACTATAACTTGCATTCCTTTTGCAACTTCCCCCACCGCTGCCTGCTTCTCACGTGGGAGCAAACAGAACGCTCCACTGCATAGCAAAGCGTTTAGTCAAAAGGTGATCACAGAATCATACGAACCACGGGGGCCCTCTGGTCCAACTGCCTGCAACGCAGGACTCTTTTGTCCAATGTGGGGTTCAAACCAACGACCCTGAGATTAAAGTCTCATGCTCTAGCGACCAAGCTATCCCAGGACTGACCCAGAATGGTGTCATGGGAGACCCCAGGGTTCCTTGGAAGGGTTGGCAACTTGCCTTGAGAGACAGGTTGCACTACTTACAATTGATCCTTCACCTGAACCATGAAGTGTGTTCTTGCTGAATATACTCCAAGTTCACGTGGGGCAATGGTCGGGGGTGCCATAATAATAATAATAATAATAATAATAATAATAATAATAATAATAATTTATTTATACCCCGCCCATCTGGCTGGGTTTCCCCAGCCATTCTGGGAGGCTTCCAACCAAATATTAAAAACAATACAGCATCAGACATTAAAAACTTCTCTAAACTTCTTCAGTTGTCTTCTAAAAGTCTGGTAGTTGTTGTTCTCTTTGACATCTGGTGGGAGGGCGTTCCACAAGGCAGGCACCACTACTGAGAAGGCCCTCTGCCTGGTTCCCTGTAACCTCACAGTGAGGGAACCACCGGAAGGCCCTCAGCGTTGGACCTCAGTGTCCAGGCTGGATGATGGGGGTGGAGACACTCTTTCAGGTACACAGGACCGAGGACATTTAGGGCTTTCAAGGTCAGCACCAACACTTTGAATTGTGCTCGGAAACATACTGGGAGCCAATGAAGATCTTTCAGGACCAGTGTTATGTGGTCTCAACGGCTGCTCCCAGACACCAGTCTAGCTGCCGCATTCTGGATTAATTGCAGTTTCCGAGTTCAAAGGTAGCCCTACGTAGAGCGCATTGCAGTAGTCCAAGTCCATGTTTTGGGTGAGCAGTGTGCTCTAGAGCACGCTCCAGAATACTCTACAGTGCACTGGAACTTTGTGGTAGACACGCAGGGGTTCTCTGGCAGACAATTTGAACTGAAAAGATATGTGAAATGGAAACAGGCCCGGTTTTGAAGTTATGGGAGTAATGTGGTTGCTACTTGGCTGCGGCTCCAACCTACCCATTCTGGAAATGTAAGAATACAGAAGACATGGAAGGAGTGCAGCCACTGGAGAATAATCAAGCCCCTACCAACACTTTTGATAGCATGAATAGCGGAGTACCATAGAATGAAGACATCAAAAGCAGAAACCACAATGTTTCTGAAAATTTGAGAATCCAGGCCTCCAACATGCAAATAAAAATGCACAGAGGATGAATTAGCAGGATTCACTAAAGAATAGTAACTTCTTCTGCGCCTGCAGAATCAACCGTGAAGAAAGACACAAATATGTGTAAAATCTTGTATTACATGCAAGTCCATATCTCATGGTTATCAGGGCTTTTCTGTACTAGCAGTGGCAGAAACAGGGGCATCATTTCAAGATTAAAAATGTGTGTGAGGTATATGCATATGGTAAGATTCCTGTGTAATGTTTGAAGGCTGATTTTTAGCCATTACATTTTTTTTAAAAAAAAGGATAGTGGATTTTAAGACCATTTTTCTTATTCCATTTTAATTCCTCATAATAACTAGAGATACATTGTTCTGAGGAGGGTGGGGGGAGGACTGATGACTGCTCCCCCCCCTGCACCTATGCACATATGATAGCATGTACATATTGCAATGTGCACACATATATTGTAACGCGTTTGTGTTACACACATCACCCACAAAACCCATTTAATCTGTGAGCACCCATGAAATTCAGCCTCTCAAATGCAGCACATCATATCCACATACAAACCGCAAACCGACCCACCTGGAAACACTCCCTTGCGCCAGAGATGGAAGCTTGTGGGCACCCAAGACTATCACCATGCGCCAAATCCTTGTGGCCAGCACTCCCCCATATCCAGGCCCACACACGCCAAGATGCAGACATTCCGATCCTTTCATACACCAGCATCCAATCTGTCGTACTTTTCAGCATGCAAGCACCCTTACTCTAGCATAGCCGTGGAACATTCGATTGGGATGTTTGTGACTTCTGGGACTTCTGCTGCCGCAACCAAGAATGGACCAGCTTTCCTTCGCTGCCATTGTTCAGAGCTTCTCATAAGACAAGGGAGCTTTTGCGTATCCCAAACCCCACCTGAAGTTTTGGCTCTCTACCCAGTTCCCAAGAGCTAGAACATGGGGAGGCAAACTAAGGCCCAGGGGCTGGATCCGGCCCAATCGCCTTCTCAATCCGGCCTGCGGACAGTCTGGGAATCAGCGTGTTTTTACATGAGTAGAATGTGCCCTTTTATTTAAAATGCATATCTGGGCTATTTGCGGGGCATAGGAATTCGTTCATACGAATAGGTTCATTCGTTCAACCCTCCAAAAAATATAGTCCTGCCCCCTACAAGCTCTGAGAGACAGTGGACCGGCCCCGTGCTGAAAAAGTTTGCTGACCCCTGAGCTAGAAGGACTTCAGTGAAGCAGCACCACTAAATATTCTTCAAATTCGCTTTGCAGCATTTTTATTACTGCTTCAAAGGTGCATAGCTGTCAACCTTCCCTTTTTTTGCGGGAAATTCCCTTATTCCAGCGCCGTTTCCCGCTGCTTACCGCTACTATCCCGGATTGTTAGATATCCCGTAGACTGTCCCCGGGACAGGTGAGGCTGCTGATCCCTTATTTTGGAGGCTGTTGATCCCTTATTTTCAAATCTGAAAGTTGACAGCTATGGTGGAGTGATCTACTGCAATGGAATAGGTCTAGCTAACTGCATCTTTCTTCTCAACGCTCACTTCCTCCCACGCTTCTTCCCAAAGATACTCTTAATTCCAGCATTTTCCCTGTGCCCTAGAGGCATAAAGCATTAGACGCAGCAGGTTAGCAGTGGGACATATTTGATGCTGCAGAGCTGGAGCCTTCTTGTTGGCTTCCCCAGCTCACAGCTGATGTAAAAATATTTGCATCCCATGAGTAGACTGCATCACGTGGCCACTTTGCAGAGTAGCATCCCTTTCCCACCAGGGCCACTGAAGCTAGATATGCAATACATTCTGGCTTACAAGTGTGAAATGAGGACATTCTCACAGGGTGGGAGGCAGCCAGAAGGGAGAAGCTGTGTGGGGACAACTCTACCACCCCAGTAACATATGAATGGGCTTGGGGTCTCTCTAGCCAAAGTATTTAGGCCGCTCTCTGGCTAAAGCCTGCACACGGTGGCTGCTGCCAAATGGAAAGCCATTGGGATGGAACAATTCAATGTACCCTCAGGAAAGGTGTGATCCCATTTAAAGGAATCCTACCTGATCTAGTAGTTTTGACAAGCAAACATGTCAGGAGAAGGGACTTGGAGACCAAGTTCTAGGTCAGGGGTCAGAGGTCAGCAACGTTTTCCAGCCGTGGGCCAGTCCACTGTCCCTCAGCCCATGTGGTGGGCTGGACTATATTTTTTTGGGGGGGAATGAACAAATTCCTATGCCCCACAAATAACCTAGAAATGCATTTTAAATAAAAGGACACATTCTACTCATGTAAAAACACGCTAATTCCTGGACTGTCCACGGGCCGGATTGATTGGGTCGCATCCGGCCCCTGGGCCTTAGGTTGCCTACTGCTGTTCTAGGTGGAAATGATTAGGATTAATTTCCTCAATGATGGAGCAAATCTCTCTCCCCCCCCTTTTTTTAAAGATGCTGGTGTTGGAATGGAGACAATCTTCCCAACAACTTGATGAACTAAGAACGTTTTCGTTTTCACACTGCTTTTAGCCATCTAAACTCTTCCAGCCCTATGAATCCGTGATGCTAAATGTGCTACTTTCCTGCATCCCTCCCCTCCTAGCTTTGCACAAATGCTTGCAATTTTGACACTGCTGAGGTGTCTGCACAGTGCTAAGAATATGCAATAACCTTCTGGGAAAATGTTGCTCTTCTGATCAAACCTCGTTGAGTTTTCACAAGGTTTCTCAAGTGCATCACCTGAAGAGGAACCTCCAAATCAACTCCATATTTTCCTTTCTAGTGGTAACCCAAGGATGCGCAGAAGCCGCATGAAAAATGCAGAAACCTCAACTAAACAATATTTGGGCTTTCCTTGAAACCTCTAAGAACTTTCACCTGAGTGGCAACCACCAAATTTGCTTTAGGGTTTACAGAGGGATTTCTCTTTCTTTTGAATGTGAACGCAATCGTCATGACCATAACAAGTTTTCAGAGGGTGAGGAGAGGGTGCCCTATGATGGACGAGGCCACTCACTCTATAGCAGGCATGTTGGGAGCAGACATTGGACTGACTTCCTTGGCTTTCTGCAAGGCGTGCTTCTGATTAAAAGCCTCTTCTTCTTCCTGCTCATCCTAAATAAAAAAACAAAACAACAACAAACCTATGGTTACATGAAGCATACTCAATAAACACACAAGACGTAACTGGCTGTACTTTCGAATAAATAAGGTATACTATTCATTGTATCAAATTGTACATTTCAACGGAAGTCTTATAAAGTCCAACGAAAAAAGCAGAAGGCCCAGTGGATCAGTTCATTCATTCTATAGTCAGTTCATATTACATATGAGCCTGTACTACTGATGAAGCCAAGGATGGCAAAACAAGGCTAATATTCCAGAAATCCTTGTCTTAGACCCTGTGAAAGGATTCTGTGGAACTGTAACAACCCTTCATGTGGATTATTGGACTCTATTAACAGACATGTGGAACAGACACTTATACATGTATGGACCTTTCTGCTTTTTTCGTTGAACTTTATAAGACTTCTGTTGAAATCTACAATTTGATACAATGAATAGTGTACCTTATTTATCCTAAATAAAAGACAAAGGAGCTGGTTAAAAGGGAACATAGCAAAATTCACTATTTTCTCACATGTTATGAGCTCTGTTATAAGAGCAGCTGCCAGGCTGCAACACAGAGGTCTGCATGGTCACTTTGAATTCACAGATGTAACAGGCTTCTCCCATCTATCACACCACCACTGCTCTCCAAGTGCTTTGTTAAACAGCTTAAGTACTAAAGTGCTAGAGCAGGCAGGAAAAGGGAGCAGGGAGCAGAGCCAAGGAAAGCTATGGGTGCCTTGTTCCCCAGTGCATCCTGGAATTCAAAGGGACACTGTGCATTTCCAGTTTGCAACCCAGGAACCCCTAGTTATAAGACTGAAAATCACATACAACTTTCATGAACATAATTATTGGAGAGGTAACCACAAAGCAAGATGAGACCTGTGGAACCAGAGTTCTAGTTACAGGTAGGTAGCCATGTTGGTCTGCTGTAGTCGAAACAAAATAAAAAAAATTCCTTCCAGTAGCACCTAAGATACCAATTAAGTTTGTTATTGGTATGAGCTTTCATGAAGTTGGTATGAAAGCTCATACCAATAACAAACTTAGCTGGTCTCTAAGGTGCTGTTGTTGTTGTTGTTTAGTCGTTTAGTCGTGTCCAACTCTTCATGACCCCATGGACCAGAGCACGCCAGGCACTCCTGTCTTCCGCTGCCTCCCGCAGTTTGGTCAGACTCATGTTGGTAGCTTCAAGAACACTGTCCAACCATCTCGTTCTCTGTTGTCCCCTTCTCCTTGTGCCCTCTATCTTTCCCAACATCAGGGTCTTTTCCAGGGAGTCTTCTCTTCTCATGAGGTGGCCAAAGTATTGGAGCCTCAGCTTCAGGATCTGTCCTTCCAGTGAGCACTCAGGGCTGATTTCCTTCAGAATGGATAGGTTTGATCTTCTTGCAGTCCATGGGACTCTCAAGAGTCTCCTCCAGCACCAGAATTCAAAAGCATCAATCCTTCGGCGATCAGCCTTCTTCATGGTCCAGCTCTCACTTCCATACATCACTATTGGGAAAACCATAGCCTTAACTATACGGGCCTTTGTTGGCAAGGTGATGTCTCTGCTTTTTAAGATGCTGTCTAGGTTTGTCATTGCCTTTCTCCCAAGAAGCAGGCGTCTTTTAATTTCGTGGCTGCTGTCACCATCTGCAGTGATCATGGAGCCCAAGAAAGTAAAATCTCTCACTGCCTCCAGGTGCTACTGGAAGGAATTTTTTTTTATTCTGTGGAACCACTTATGACACCAATTTCGAGCTGAAACCAGTTTTGTTTTTTTAAATCGAATTCTTGAAGTTAAAGCTTTTAAAAATCTTGACAACACTGCATCACATGAAGGTGACCAGACTGGAACTGACTTCTAAGTCCTAAGACCTCAGTCCCAAGCATGGATACTTGGAAGTAAGTTACATTCATGGAGGCAGCTGCCCATTCGAACTGCCTCCCATTACATATCAGGCAGATGTAGTCTTTTATCGTCTTCTCAGAGCCTGTCAATGATATTCCTTCTTCATCAAGCCTTTTAAGTGGAGTTTGTTTGTCTTTTAAATCCCAGGTTGCCTCTGCATTTAATCTGAACTGTTCTATATCTGAAATTGTTTTATGTGTTATTGTAAAATTGAAGCGATTCACAAATGGAACCCAATAAAAAAATGGACGTTTCACTGTCATCTCTGTTTACAGGCTTTGGAGATTCCTGCAGTTGTTTTTGAAGCTAGAAACTGATCACGAGCCGGCTTTTCTTTTGCAATTAGCAAGAAGTTGAAGTTGTGTTTGTGTGTGTGTCACCCAACTGACACTTCACACACTTCCTAATTGATATATGGAATTTGCTGCTACAAGATACGGTGATGACCACTAGAGGATTAGGGGGAGTTAAAAGCGGATTAGACAAATTCATGGAGAATAAGCCTCTCAACTGGATTTTTGCAATGATAGACATACAATATCTCCCTGTTTGTGGCCTGAAAGTTCCTGTCACTAGATGATTGCATGTGTGGGTGGGTATAGAGCAGCAGGAAGGAGCTGTTGCCTTCATGCCCCATTCTGGGCTTCCCAGTAGTAACTGGATGAGCATTGTTGGAAACCAGTGGCTGAGCTAGATAGATCTTTGGTCTGTCCCAGCAGGGCCATTCTTAAGCTCTGAAAAGCATTTTCAGCACACAGCTCTCTTGCAATGATGGCAGTTCTGCGTTCAAGATGCTCATTATCTGTGTTATCCCACAAAGTCCATATATTCCATGTTCGAAATTTCAATTGTCTTTTACAACAGCTGGGTGGTGACGCCACTGGGCATGGTAATACGGTTAGAGGGGAAAGGGAGACAGACTCTGTTTAGGTCACCTTTTCTAGCCCCTCCTCCTTTTCGGGGTGAGCAGAGTGGACCCTAAATAGGACTGCTCACTCATGGATACACATATAGCAAAAATTATCTGAACAGGGAGCTCCTTGCATTGCTCCCTGGGAACAAGGTGAGTGATGCAGAAGTGAATTTACTATCACCTCTGAAGTTATTATTATTGTTTATCACACTTACACCCCACTCTTCCTCTAAACACCTCTGAGAGTCACAGTCTTGGGGTCTCTGACCCCTCAGAGCTTAGGGCAGCTGCTTCTAGCTTCCATCACCAGAGGGAGACCTTTTTCTCTGTCTTCCCATCTGACCAGAGGAGCCCTGCTCATCACTGGGTGGGGAGATAACCTAGCCAACCAGCCTGTCCTCTGCACTGCCTCCTTTCCTTGACTTCGCTAGAGGAGCTGAGGTCCTACCAAACCTTACCAAATCTGCCCTGCTTTGCCTCAGCAGTGCTTGTTTCTGTAGGTCAGCTAGAACTGAGTCACACACCTCAAGATGATTCTTGGAGCAATGCAGAAGGAGGGCACGACACTGCCCTCTCCACAGCTGGTATATTTACAGCTTACTTCTGAATTAGGCAAGTTACCGCCACCATTCTGCTTCCACTTCCTTCTAGGTGTCATTTTTATTAATTATGTGGGTACAAAATACTGTGGGGGGCCCTCTCTCTCTCCTGCTAGGGAGATGCATATTTGTCTGCTTCAGAGTTAAATTAGACAATGCCATCGATTACTACGCTCTATTACACCCACATTAGCCATGTCAGAGATACATTTGCACTGGAGAGTCTTGCTTGGAGTCCAGGAAGTACAAGTTGATGAATCTGTGCTCGAAATGGGAGATATGGAACGGGATCATTCCATTCCCACTCTGAGAGCGGCAACCGGCCCGGTTGCTTAGCTAGCTCACTGTAACCTGTGTGGTTTCCTAGAACACCGTCACACACCAATTCCCAGTGAAGCCTTCCTTGGCATGGCCCCAACTCATAATTGTTAGTTAATGATAACTGTTCCACTGTTAGATAGCAGAGGATTTGGAGGAAAACAAATAACATTTGGGGCACGGTGCTTTCAGAGCACTGACTGTAATAAACCCTGACCTTTGTAATAAACGGAATGACCGTTGCCCCCAAACAGGTAATCTGAGGGCCAAAGTAGATGCAATGCCATCCATGCAATTAGCAATTGTGTGAAAGGCTTTTAAAAAAGTAAAAAAGTGTGGAAAAATCCAGATCAGAAGAAGAGTTTGGATTTGATATCCCGCTTTATCACTACCCTAAGGAGTCTCAAAGCAGCCAACAATCTCCTTTCCCTTCCTCCCCCACAACAAACACTCTGTGAGATGAGTGAGACTGAGAGACTTCAGAGAAGTGTGAACAGCCCAGTGTCACCCAGCAGCTGCATGTGGAGGAGCAGGGATGCGAATCCGGTTCCCCAGTTTACGAGACTACCGCTCTTAACCACTACACCACACTGGCTCCAGACTTTGGTCAGTTTCCTCAGGACCACAGTAGCCTCCCATCCTCCACACTAGGGAGGAACACCATCTGGCTTGGGGCCCCACCCCAGCAATTTACTTCCAAGAAGCCAATTGCAGAAATGGTCATTTCATGAATGGTGTTGTGCCCGGTTTGGCCCTGAAAGGAAATGATCCCTTGGCAAATTCTCCTGCACAAGCCCCACAAGCCCTCCTGTCTCAGGGAAAGGATCAGAGATCAAAAACAAAACTCAGCCAGGAAGATCAGTTGCTTTTGCCGTGGTTGCAGAAAGAATTGGCCAGCCACATCTCACAGAAATTTAATCAGTGAGGGAAAATAATAGGTACTGGGAATTCAAGGCAGTGAGAAAAAACTAGGAACAGGGCCTCCTTTGTGGGGGCACCTCTCCCTTTGAACTTTAGGGATGCTTTTAACTGCTTGTTTGCACTGTCTTGTTTACAGGGATCTTTGCTGCTTTATTCTCTTTTAAATCTTTATTCTCTTTTTTAATTGGGTTGTTTTCCGTGGTAATCTATTATCATTTTTAATACTCGCTGCCAGTCAATAGAGGCAACGCTGGGCTAGATGGACCAATGGTCTGTATTTTAAAAAACAATCTCGCATATTCCAGAGTGAGGACTTGCCACTCAGTATCATCTGTGGTTTTGCTCTGGTGAGCAGAGGCTCAAATCGCGTCCCATCAAAATTATATCCGCATCGCTAAGAACATATTACAGTCTGGAGGGAGCTAAAGGAAATACCAAAGAAGTCTAGATTTACCTTTGTCAGCTCCTGCGCATTAGCTAGGTTATCCACAGCAATGGCCAAGAAAACATTAAGCAGGGTATCTAAAAGAGTTGAGGGTGAATGAAGCATCCGATTAGACCAGCTGGATGGACATCATGCAGACATTCCTGCCTTGTGGAAGAGGATAATGGCACCCCCCCCCATATTAGGGGCCTATACTGCACCAGGACGGGTTGAAAGATGGACTCTCACATGATCATAGGGGAGTTTTCTGTGTCTTCACTATACCAATCTAGAAACTTAGCAAAATGATGTGCTTATATCCCATGTGATCTTTCTTTTATATCTTTCCTTCAAATATCGTCAGTTTGGCATGGGATCCTGCCAACCACAGAAAAATGATAACAGCCTCACCTACCCAAGGGCTATGATTTCAAACACAGGACCACTTCTACAAGTGTCTCCTGGTGCCTAGACTCAGGAATATGGCAGAGCGAAGGGGATGGGCTGCTTAGGACTAAAAGGACAGTCATTTGGGCCAAGCAGCAAGTCAAGATAAAATTCAAACTAGACAAGATGCCAGGAGATGCATTATCAGTCGCCACAGAGCTTTTAAAAACTGAAATTCAACTTCTGGATCAAGGGAGATGGAGGAGGGTGGGGAATACATAACCCTCCCCCTCCAAGTTTTATTATTGTTTTAAATTGGGCCTCTCCTGCTACTTTTACAAAGGAATTTTTTTCTCTCCTAGTGGGAGATAAAAAAAATGGATTAGAAAAATTGCCTGGGGAGAATTTGCAACTCTTCCTCCCATCCCCTCCTGTTTTGCAGCCGACCATGGCAACACTTTGGTACAAACAAACCACGGTATAGAGCATGGGTAGGCAATCTAAGGCCTGGGGGGCTGGATCCGGCCCAATCACCTTCTCGATCCGGCCTGCAGACGGTCCAGGAATCAGCATGTTTTTACATGAGTAGAATGTGTGCTTTTATTTAAAATGCATCTCTGGGTTATTTGTGGGGCATAGGAATTCATTCATTTTTTTCCAAAATATAGTCCAGCCCACCACATGGTCTGAGGGACGGTGGACCGGCCCACGGCTGAAAAAGGTTGCTGACCCCTGGTGTAGAGATTGGTAATGCAGTTCCTCTTTGCCTCACCTACTTTGACTCTAAAAATCCAATGCAGCAACATTGACAGAAGTGCTCTCACACTACTTCTCTCCATGGTGCTGAAATTTACAAAATATGACATCAGAACCACCATCAAGGCAGAGCAATAGGAAGGATACAGTTTCCAAATAGCGTGAGGATGATGAAGTAGATGGACGACCACATTCCTGAGCTGACGCCACCTTGGGAGCGAATTCCATTGTACATCACTTCATTCCAGTCTTCCCCTGTCAAAATCTAAACAAACAAGCAGCTGTTATAACAATGTCCTTATTTTACACTTCAGAATAGGATGTTTCAGTTATGGAGAGCCTACTAAGTCACTGAAACAAATGACACAAAGAAAAGAAGAAGGAAGGAATGAAATAAAGAAGGAAGGCACCTTTTCCTTCCTTCTTCTAACCAACCATCCATTTTTCCTTGGCCTCAAATTCTGCCTTTCTTATATAACAATAAGGCAAAAGAATAGTCAGAACTGTACAAAAGGGGTACAGTCCTTCCTCAGAGGCCTTACTGTCTTACTGCCTAATTTAGAAAAGACAGGTTGGAAGTGGGGCAAAGAAAAGCCCAATAAAAGAATAAAAAGTAAAGTGACCCCTGACCATTAGGTCCAGTCGTGACCAACTCTGGGGTTGCGGCGCTCATCTCGCTTTATTGGTCGAGGGAGCCGGCGTACAGCTTCTAGGTCATGTGGCCAGCATGACTAAGCCGCTTCTGGCGAACCAGAGCAGTGCACGGAAACACCGTTTACCTTCCCGCCGGAGTGGTACCTATTTATCTACTTGCACTTTGACGTGCTTTCAAACTGCTAGGTTGGCAGGAGCAGGGACCGAGCAACAGGAGCTCATCCCATCATGGGGATTCGAACCGCAGACATTCTGATCGGCAAGGCCTAGGCTCAAAGAAAAGACTGGCCAGTCACATCTCACAGCGCCACACATAGACATAATAAAAGAATAGTGGGAGCCAAAACTACAGAATCAGCTGCACTGAACAACTTCAGGCCGCAGATGGGGGAAACTCTAATTTCCGAATGGTCCTCCCAAATAAAAAAGAAAAAGTACAAACACAGTTTCCAGTACATGCCAGTAGGTGGTTCTCCCACACAGGGTCCTGAGCCAAGGGGATGCAAAATGGAGAAGATCCATTTGGGGGCACCAAATTTGGCCTCACTCAGGGTACCATACCAGCAAAGATTACCAAAGTCCACCCCTGTTTATATCCAGTGCACGTCAAAGTGCAAGTAGATAAATATCCAGTGCTACTGTTCTGCTCGGAGGGATACGGGTTGCACTGTGGGTTAAACCACAGAGCCTAGGACTTGCTGATCAGAAGGTTGGCGGTTCGAATCCCCGTGACAGGGTGAGCTCCGGTTGCTCGGTCCCTGCTCCTGCCAACCTAGCAGTTCAAAAGCACGTCAAAGTGCAAGTAGATAAATAGGTGCTGCCCTGGCGGGAAGGTAAATAGTGTTTCCGTGCGCTGCTCTGGTTCGCCAAAAGTGGCTTAGTCATGCTGGCCACATGACCCGGAAGCTGTACGTCGGCTCCCTTGGCCAATAAAGTGAGTTGAGCGCCGCAACGCCAGAGTCGGTCACGACTGGACCTAATGGTCAGGGGTCCCTTTACTGTTCTGCTCATGCAGCAGACTTCAACTTGCGCAACTGAACAGCCCCCTCTCCTGTCCTCCCGCACACCTTCAAAATATGGTCCAGAGGGTTTGTGGGCCCTCTGTTGGCTGTGTACCTTGGCTCTGAGGAAGAGGCAGCGTTTTAGCTCAAGGAGTTATTTTTGAGAAAGGATTCATTTAAAGGGAAAGAGAGGACACATCCCTCTCAGCAGAGAAGACTAGGCTGTTCCAGCCAGGTGTGTAAGTGCTGTGGGAGATTCAGAAGAAAGAGCAAGGAAAGGAAAGGAGAGGCGCTTCTATGGAGCACAGAATTAGAGGAAGATAGAATAATGTGAATATGGTGAGTGAATGAGGCATGGAGAGCTTTGTTATAAAGAAAAGGAGAATGTCAAAGCAAAAGGGAGCCACTGCAGAAACTGAAGTCAGTGGGTGACAGGATCAGAGCAGTGAAAGAAAGGCTATTTTAACAGAGGTACTCTGAAATGACAAGAGATTATGAGTGGCTACTCTGGTCAGGAGGTGGTTGAAGTAGCATTAACCATACCATATATGAAGATTTCAGGACAGATTTGAGGGATGTTACACATGCGGGTGGCACTGTGGTCTAAACCACTGAGCCTCTTGGGCTTGCCGATCAGAAGGTTGGAGGTTCAAATCCCTGCGACGGGGTGAGCTCCCGTTGCTCAGTCCCAGCTCCTGCCAACTTAGCAGTTCAAAAGCACGCCAAAAAAGGTGCAAGAAGATAAATAGGTACCACTCTGGTGGGAAGGTAAACAGCGTTTCCGTGCGCTGCTCTGGTTTCGCCAGAAGCGGTTTAGTCAACAAACACTGGCTCCCTCGGCCTGTAAAGCGAGATGAGCGCCACAACCCCAGAGTCGCCTGTGACTGGACTTAACCGTCAGGGGTCCTTTACCTTTACCTTTTTTTCACACAAGTTAAGTATGCAGGGTTGCTTCAAAAGAGCTCCTCACGCATCAGTAAGTTTTTGTTTTTTCTGGGGTTGCTCTTGACCTGTGTTGACTAAGGATGTGTAAAACATCCACTTAGGGTTGTTACAGAACAACACTCCTCTACAGATGAGTGATGAGTGAGGGCCACCAGATTGGTTGCAAGACAGCCTTCTCCACACAAAGTGCACATGATATTACACGTTACTCTTCAATGCGTAGTACAATTTCTCTGCCTGTGGTTGCCTCGTAAAGGTAAAGGGACCCCTGACCATTAGGTCCAGTCGTGGCCGACTCTGGGGTTGCGCCACTCATCTCGCTTTATTGGCCAAGGGAGCCGGTGTATAGCTTCCGGGTCATGTGGCCAGCATGACTAAGCCACTTCTGGCAAACCAGAGCAGCGCACGGAAACGCCGTTTACCTTCCCGCCAGAGCGGTACCTATTTATCTACTTGCACTTTGACGTGCTTTTGAACTGCTAGGTTGGCAGGAACAGGGACCAAGCAATGGAAGCTCACCCCGTCGTGGGGATTCGAACCGCCGACCTTCTGATCGGCAAGTCCTAGGCTCTGTGGTTTAACCCACAGCACCACCCGCATCCCTATGTGGTTGCCTCGTAGGGACTGGGAAATGCATCATTTAATGATGTTAGGACATGAGCTAACTGTTGGGATAGCTTTGAGAGGCAGGATGGTATATATTATTTATCAATTATCCTTCCACTTACACACATGAGTAAAATTAGCATCTGGTTTGGCAGAGTTAAAAATATACCATCCTTTGCAACATTCACATGGAAACTTGGGACCAAACTTTCTGTAGCTTTCTGTAATTATCCAGGTTGCCTCTGGCAAATAGAACCTTCCCATTTATTTATCCCTCTGCATAAATCACAACATCAAAGTCCTTAATGGAAGGACATTATAATATTGTTTGCTTACATAAAGCTGCAGACTCAACTTAAAATGGCAGTGAAACAAGTCAGGCAAAATATACAGTGGTACTTCAGGTTAAGTACTTAATTCGTTCCAGAGGTTCGTTCTTAACCTGAAACTGTTCTTAACCTGAAGCACCACTTTAGCTAATGGGGCCTCCTGCTGACGCTGCGCCGCCGGAGCACAATTTCTGTTCTCATCCTGAAGCAAAGTTCTTAACCTGAAGCACTATTTCTGGGTTAGCGGAGTCTGTAACCTGAAGAGTATGTAACCTGAAGCGTATGTAACCTGAGGTACCACTGTACTTCTAGATTACAAAACACATGGTTCAGATCAAAGATGGCACCTGTGCTTGGAAGAGCACAGACAGTGCATCCTACCCCTAAGGCTGCGTGATGAGAAAGAGAGTGTTTCTCAGGTGGGAGGAATTAATAAGGATTATGTTCCTTCCTTCCTGGGCAAGCAGAGGATGTGGCCTCACAAAAGTGCCCTCTAGGAATTTACAGGCAACTCCATGCATCTTAACCCTTTGCTCACATAGCAAACATGGGATTTTGTATTTTGACAGGGACATCATTTCCCCACAATAAGCTGCGCTACACATTGCTGACAAGAACTTGATTACCATTTTCAGAGGCAGCCTCGTGTCTCTCCTATCACCTGCCCTGAATCACAGCTGACTACTTTAACAGAAGCATTACTAACGGACACAGGCATCTGAGCTCATTTCTTCAGCTGCAGGCTCCTCGCCCCCAGAGTTATACCTGGAAAACTGTCATGATGGCTGCAGGGAAGGTGTCAAAGTTTGCAGAAGGAGTCCCATCCATAAAATTAAATCTGTAAAGAAGTAAAAAAACAAAAAAAACAAGCTATAACAAGCTTCTTCTTCTGGCTCACCAGCAGATTAATTTACCCAGCCTCCTTGTCCTCCCCTCTATCTCGTCTCCTGCTACTGTCATTTTGGTAATTTCCACATAGATATGATGAAAGTGGTGTGTATTTCTGCATCCCACTCTCCTGCACATGTTTATCTACTTTGTATACTCTATTCTGCAACCAAGATTCAAGATTCAATATAATTCTCTGTGTATTTTCTGCGCGTGGAACAAGGTGGCAGAAGAGAATGGAGGGAAAGTTAAGAGCAAATAGTAGAAAAGACGAACAAGATTCAGCAACAGGAGCCACAGAGAACAGTAGGGATCTGTGTAAGACCCTCAGTTCCACCTCCTGGTCCCTGATAGTACTGGCTTAAATGTAATTATGCAAAGGATCTAGAAAGAAAGAAATGTTAAATTCTTATTTCATAGAGTCATATTGCTGTAGGAGACCAGAGGGGCAAACGAGCCCAGCCCCCTGCCAGACAGGAGACGCCATCGAGCACTCCTGATATATGGTTGTCAGGCCTTTGTTTAAAGACCTCCAAAAAGGAGATCTTTCATTGATGATGCATGAGAATGTGAACCCAAGATCTCTGACATCTGTTTAAGATAAAAATTTAAAACTATTAACCATCTGTTTTGGAGGGCAGTAGGGCAAGGAGGGCAAGAGGTGAGCTGGTAATTAAGGTTCCTTGTTGAGACAAATGTAAGATATATGACTACTTATTTGTCATTTATAGATAGAAGAATATATAGCTTTTTGTATCCCATAAAAGGCAATAGGAAATGGGTGTATCTTTTAGGATTGGTTATAGCAATCAGCCAATAGGAAATTCAACCAGGCTGATTGGACAGAGGCAGCCAAAGGAGGAGCAAGGGGGCTGGGCTGAGGGAATATAAGTGCTGGCCATAATGGCAGGAGGCCAGGCCAGAGCTTGGTAACCATATACCACTGTGCCTCTCATTTATTTGTCTGACAAATAAATTATTATTTTAATTTCTCTATTGCTGCGTTGAATATTTCATTCCAGCTAAGCGTTAACCACAAGCAGGGTGCTACAATAGCACTGTCCAGATCTAGCACTGCTTTCCTGGGATCAGATACATGGCCTACACCAGGCATAGGCAAACTCGGCCCTCCAGGTGTTTTGGGACTACAACTCCCATGATCCCTAGCTAACAGGACCAGTGGTCAGGGATGATGGGAACTGGAGGGCTGAGTTTGCCTATGCCTGGCCTACATATTTTTAAGTCTTTCTCTACAGGAGTGAAGGCAATAACCCTTCAAAAGCAAGGCGGAACATTTCTTAGGAAAGCCAAATTCTGCAGCGATGAGTTAATTCAATGCCTGTGCAGCAAAAACCTACAGACACAGAGAACACATGCAACCAAGGCATGTAATTCTCTCCAGAAGTCAGTAGGAACAGTGCTGTTTTTTCTATAAAAAAATTTCTTGGGGGTACTCTCATTTTCCTACTGATATTGAAACATTGCCCCTCAATGAGGCCAAACTTAGATTCACAAACTGTTTAGGGGTATGCGCGTCCCCTCAGAAAAAAAGCACTGAGTACAAATAGGCCACTATAAGTTGGAGGAATAAAGCAAGCAATTGCCTTAGGGTGCTTGAGAAGAAGCAAGTAGCTTTATGGATAAACAATCTGGTGAAAGCTAGTGAGGCAGCTTTATGAAATATTCTGATATACTGGCTGGCATTTCAAAAACAAGCAAACATGGCCTGGCCATCTACTTACCTGCCACCAAAGAGCTGCATCCCAAGCAGGGCAAAGACTACAATGAAGAGGAAAAGGAGGAAGAGGAGGCTGATAATAGACTTCATAGAACTCATCAGTGAGACCACCAAATTCCTCAAGGAAGCCCAATACCTGGAAAATCCAGATGTTACTGTAGCATGCTTCCTAAAGCATTGCAATGCTCTTTCAACTTGGGCTGGCTTTTGTTAGCCAGCAGGTGTGTGCATGCCTGTGTGTTGGGGCAGAAGGGGAGTTTCCATTATTTGATCAGTGTTGTCCAATTTATTTTTCTTTATTTAGCTTTGTTTAGCTACTTAAAGGTAAAGGTACCCCTGCCCGTATGGGCCAGTCTTGACAGACTCTAGGGTTGTGCGCCCATCTCACTTAAGAGGCCGGGGGCCAGCGCTGTCCGCAGACACTTCCGGGTCACGTGGCCAGCGTGACAAGCTGCATCTGGCGAGCCAGCGCAGCACACGGAATGCCGTTTACCTTCCCGCTAGTAAGCGGTCCCTATTTATCTACTTGCACCCGGGGGTGCTTTCGAACTGCTAGGTTGGCAGGCGCTGGGACCGAGCGACGGGAGCGCACCCCGCCGCGGGGATTCGAACCGCCGACCTTTCAATCGGCAAGTCCTAGGTGCTGAGGCTTTAACCCACAGCGCCACCCACGTCCCTTGTTTAGCTACTTAGCCAGGTGAATTAAACGCTATCAATAGTATAGGTTACAAATCAAATTACAAATCAAATTACAGGAATTGGTGGAGACGGCTCAATTGACAAGTAAACTCAGAGGAAACTCAAAACAAAAATTAGCGGAAAATGGGATCTTTATAAAAAATATGTTCAAAAATACAATAATAGTTTTGACTCCGTGCTAGCATTCGAGTGATAAAGGAACTAAAAGGAGGTGGATTACAATTAAGGATTTATTATGTTTTCAGAATGTATTAGAAAAATTATATAGAAAGGTTTATTGTTTTGTGTACATTCAAATGTAAGATAAAACATATGCAAAGGGACTTGACAGGAAGTCAAAGTTGAAGAAAAGATTTTGGAAGATAAAAGGGGGGAAATATTTACTTTCATTATTATCATTTTCTGTGCGGGTGTGGGTGTGTGGGTGTCTGCACTTATGTGTGTTGTCGTATGCAATGTTTGGGAGGAAATAAGATGGTAAATAACAAATAACAAACTAAATATTGATGTATGTAATTTTTATTTCTTAATTATATTTAGTGGTAGTATAGCTGTATTGTTTTTTGTAACATAAAACCATTCAATAAAAATTATTAAAAAAATTAGTATAGGTTACAAATGAGACGGGGAAACTGGGTTGTCGATGGAACAAGGAGGAACAACAGGGCGACAAAAGGAAAAGTGGGGGTAACATTTGCTCAAGGAACATTTTGGGAAAAACAGGGACGAGCTCATTTGTTTGACTCACTTTGTGATTTTAAATATCCTTAGAAGCCGCAGGGCTCGTAAGACGCTAATCCCAAAAGAGGTTCCAGGTCTGAAGATCGTCCAAACCACTTCGAAGATGCTTCCCACCGTGACCTGAGTCATCAAACACATAGAGAAGAAACAAGCAATTGAATCGCCTATGAATGGAAAGACGTCAATAAGCAAATCCACCCAACAACTCAACCACCTTCTCAGCTATCCCAGAAGGGCAAAGTCTCCCTGACAAGAGACTTAAAAGAGTGAGCTGGACTGGGGAAAATGGTGGAAAGTAAATCTGAAATTTACAGATGGTTCTCTTTTGAAAGAAAATCACATGAAGATGATGTACAGATGGTATATCACACCAGTACAGTGGTGCCTCGCAAGACGAAATTAATTTGTTCTGCGAGTTTTTTCGTCTTGCGAACTTTTCGTCTTGCGAAGCACCACTGTATTAAGTCTGCAGTAATTTTAAGAAGTGGCCCCAACATTCTCCAGCAGGCTACCACACCGCGTGCTATGAGTTGCTCCTCGAAGTCAAGTCGCAACTGCACCTCTAATGCACCCTGGGTATTAATGGTTTTAAGAAAAAGGAAACAAACTTGCAAGACATTTTCGTCTTGCGAAGCAAGCCCATAGGGAAATTCGTCTTGCGAAGCAACTCAAAAAACCAAAAACCCTTTCGTCTTGCGAGTTTTTCGTCTTGCGAGGCATTCGTCTTGCGAGGTACCACTGTACAAATAGCAAAAATGTACAAAACCGGGTCAAATATTTGCTGGAAATGTAAAGAAAAAGAAGGTACTTTTTATCATATGTGGTGGGAATGTAGAGAAGTCAAAATATAATAATTGGGAAATGATATATAACGAATTGGAAAAAAAAATGTTTAAAATGACATTTGCAAAAAAACCCAAAAACCCAGAAGCATTTTTGTTAGAGATTGTAGGACAAGACCTGCCAAGAAAAATAAAAAATCTATTTATGTATGCTACAACAGCGGCAAGAGCCTTGTTAGCACAAGGATGGAAGAACGAGGAAATCCCAACGAAAGAACAGTGGCAAGAAAAATTGATGAGCTATGCGGAATTGGCCAAGTTGACATATAAACTGTGTTTACAAGGACAATCGTGGCTTTAAGGACAAGGACAATCGTGGCTTTAAGGAAGAATGGGAACTTTTTACAATATACTTAAAAAGACAACAAAATGACTTGGACTCCTTGGCAGGTTTTGAATAAACACCCACAAATTTATTAGTTGACTATATGATAGACAAGGCAAGGATATGGACAATTTTATAATATGCAGAGAACAATATGTGCAAAGAAACCAGAGAGGGGAGCTGAGGAAAGACCGGGGGGGGGAGGGAGGGGGGAAAGGGGAAAAAATAATGTAATTGAATTTTTGGATTGAGAAATTGTTATGTTGAAATTGTTTAATATTCTTTTTTTTTTTTTAAAGTGAGCTGGAAGAAAGGTCCTCATTACGACATGTTTGTGGACTCCATGAAGTGAATATATGAATGAACAATCTGTTTCATTCAAATGACTGTAATTCCTCCGCCAATTCCTGCACTGACAAGATGGTAATTTGGCTCTTGGAGGTGTTACAATAACACCACGTTTCCACCCCCTCTCCCCTTCTACACATCAGTGCAGTTCCCCAGAGAATCTTCCACCCCGCTCTGCCATTCGCACTTGTTCTGTTCTGCTTCTTATCTGCGCAGTGCTTACCCCACAGTCAAAGCAGTTGAAAGAAGAATGGAAATAAAGTCGGGGCCCCATCCCGTACATCTTCAAGGACATCTCTAGGAGGAAGAGGCCCAGAAATATAAACTCTGCATAGTCTGAAAGAAAGAAATTCAGGTGTGTTCATTCGACCTCTGCTTCTCTCCATCTACTATTGCAACAAAACTTCACAGCACTGCATGATGGACCCACCCAGAGCTGGTTCATGCTGAGAAATTTCTCCCCATGCAGGCACGCAACATGAACCAGCCATCTTTGTAGCTGCAGCTTCTAAGGAAAATGTGGTGGTGAGAATAGAAATAGGCAACTTCCCTGCGTGGGGCAGAAAGACTACGGACCAATTTCTTGTTGACCACTTGGTACCTGCTGGGGAAGTCATGAGAAGAATGTTGGACCTTTGACCCAACCAGATGCTTGTTACCTTCCTTCCTAACCATGGTGCACATTCAGGATTACTGAACACAGATCACGCCTTCTGCGGAGAGCTCTTTACCACAGTTAAAATGCATTGGTGAGACCACACAGGCTCCGTAAAATAAAATAAAAATAGACCACATGAGGTTGAGGTTGGCCCATCCTTAGCCTGACCTTTCTTCAAGAGATTAGTTTGATGGTGTGAATTGGTCGAAAAGCTGGAAGCAAAGTCTGGGGACTTCAGTTCCCCAGGAAAACTCCTTGTCAGTTCTGCTGTTTCTTCAGCCTGCTATTTTATACAACAGCAGCTTTTTGTGAGGGCTCTCTAAACAATGTTGTGGTCAGCCCAGCCAAACCTGTAGCAATTAAAGAGGTTGTTGAAGTGCTTGTGCCTGGGGGAGACTGACAGTTGTCACACCACTAATGGTCCTTTCTTCTGGGCTCAGAACCAACAATCCCCCCCCCCCCCGAATAAGCTTGTAAAAAAATGGTGGCCAGCAATATTGCACTTACCAGTTGCTGGGGGTTTTAAAAAATGAAAAGTAAACCCCAAACAACACAAAAATATAACACTAAAATTGAAACTGATATAAAACTAAAACAACATAAAAGCTTCAAACATTCATCTACATAATACCACAGAAGAAAGTTTACTGTCGCTTCAGGCTTCACTGTGGAGGGGTTTAAATAAATGTGATTAAATTAATAGCCAATTTCGTACCATCAGCCAGACTGGGAGAAGATATAGATTCAGGATACGCTCAGGCAGCAGATAACATTTTTACTACCTTTCCCTTATAAAATATGTTTTGTTCTTTGCACCAACATACACACAGAATCTTGTCTGGAAATCTTATCAATATTTATGGGCTCTAATAAGAACATAAGAACATAAGATTCTGATGAAGCTTTTTTTGTTGGCAGCTAGAAAAACAATAGCACGACAATGGAAAAACCTGGATAATGTGTCTTTGAAGATTTGGTGTGGAAACACATGGCGTATAGAAATATCAGAGAGAGAGAAAACACTTTATCCTCAGGTTTGATACAATGAAAAGCACACCCACAGGATTTTAGTGCTGTATGGTGGGACTTTATTTGATGCACAATGGATAATAGAGAATAGGAGGCATTGCAAGAAGTAGCAAGAAGGGTATGTCAGGGTGATGTCTTAGAGAATTGATTAGAACACTTAGAACCGTAAAGTAAGATTTAGACAAGATATTTATGTGAGAGATGCTGTATCATTTGAACCCCCTCCATAACGGTTCTGTGGTCATATATTGTATTTTGTGGGAGTGGGTGGCGCTGTGGTCTAACCACTGAACCTCTTGGGCTTGCTAATCGGAAGGTCGCGGTTCAAATCCCTGCAACAGGGTGAGCTCCCGTTGCTCTGTCCCAGCTCCTGCCAACCTAGCAGTTCAAAAGCATGCCAGCACAAGTAGATAAATAGGTACCGCTGTGGTGGGAAAGTTAACAGTGTTTCCATGTGCTCTGGTTTCCGTCACAGTGCTCCATTGCACCAGAAATGGTTTAGCCATGCTGGCCACATGACCTGGAAAGCTATCTGTAGACAAACGCCAGCTCCCTTGGCTTGAAAGTGAGAAGAGTCACCTTTGATTGGACTTAACCGTGCAGGGGTCCTTTACCTTTTACCTATTATATTTTGTATTTAATTTGTAGACTTTGAGATTTTTGTTTCTGCGTACTGTCAGTGCTGCCCTTTATGCATGAGAACAATTATAAATAAAACGACAACAGCACACCTATTTCTGTCTAATGTGGGCAAAACTGGAACACAACAGAGAAGATCTTGCAAGTGAGAGGCACAGTGGAGTGGCTACTGACCTGCAGAAAATATATTGTGTGCATAGGGCTCAAGTCGATACGATAATCTCTATTGTCATTGTCCCATACAGAACAACGAAACTGAAAAAAATCTACATCAGACATTCAAAAACCAACAAGCCTGCTATCCCAGCTATCCCAGTCTGGTTAAGCCCCTAAAAACTCTGATACCCCATAATTAAATACAATATACTCCCACAGAGACTACCTTACACTGCGTTTAAAACCAAAATCGCATTTGGATAAAACCTGTTTCTCAGGCGGCTATTCCTAGTCTTTATAACCCTGTACCTTCTTCCAGAAGGCAGAAGCTGAAAGAGATCATTTCCAGGGTGTGTACTATCCTGCGCTGTCTCTGCAGCTTTCTTATGGCACCTGGAAGCATAGATTTGATCCAAGGTGGGAAGAGGGCACCCAATTATTCTCTCCGCAGTCTTTACAACCCTGGACAGCATTGTTTTTTCCCCCTGACCGTGCAGCTCCCAAACCACACACACAGACCATAAGTTAATACACTCTCAACAGTACAATGGTAGAATGCCATCAACAGGTCGTTTGAGAGATTATTTTTCCGGAGGATTCTCAGAAAATATAAAGAGTCTAACACTCTTTCATTAGTGAGCAGATTTGTGCTGAATATTCGCCAGTTTCGAATACTAGCTCGGAAAGGATCGCATTCTGTGCTGCTAAACTAACCAAAAGAAGAAAACAACTTAACTTCGCCAAGCATTCACATTGTCTCAGTGCTTTTCAGCACCCCTTCGTTCTCCTGGTTGCTGCCTCCTCTGGGCACCATGCTGGCCCACATGTTTTGGTTTTGAGGCATCCATGATGCGTCCACCACACCAGAAGACGCATCATGACATCATCCACAAAACCACTCACATTAACAGCAGTGAGAGTAAATGCGGTTGAGGGCAGTGAGGGGAAAGAAGAAAACATGGTGCACAGAAGGAGCAGCTAAAGAAACGAACGTGCCAAACAACAATGTGAATACATTTACATCATGTCAAAAAAAATCTCTGAAAGCAGCCAGTGCTCTTTGACACTCACCACTGCGGTGCATGCTAACTATCAAATACAGCGGTACCTCGGGTTAAGTACCTAATTCGTTCCAGAGGTCTGTACTTAACCTGAAACTGTTCTTAACCTGAAGGACCACTTTAGCTAATGGGGCCTCCTGCTGTCGCTGCCGCCGGAGCATGATTTCTGTTCTCATCCTGAAGCAAAGTTCTTAACCTGAGATACTATTTCTAGGTTAGCGGAGTCTGTAACCTGAAGCGTCTGTAACCTGAAGCGTATGTAACCCGAGGTACCACTGTATGCAGCTAGAAAAGGAGACTTTTATCCTGCCTTGTGCCATTTTATTTGAACAAAACAACTTAACTGGGGTATATTTCTGATTGAAACCTGTGTCGGAACAGGATCAGGCACCACAAGCAGCCAAGACTGGTTGGGAGCCGCCAGTTCCTTGAAGAGATGGAACCAAGAAGGGAAGAAGAAGAAGAAGAAGAAGAAGAAGAAGAAGAAGAAGAAGAAGAAGAAGAAGGAGTGGAGGAGTGGAGGAGGTGGGAGTAGAAGAGTTTGGATTTGATATCCCACTTTATCACTACCCGAAGGAGTCTCAAAGCGGCTAACAATCTCCTTTCCCTTCCTCCCCCACAACAAACACTCTGTGAGGTGAGTGGGGCTGAGAGACTTCAGAGAAGTGTGACTGGCCCAAGGTCACCCAGCAGCTGCATGTGGAGGAGCAGGGAATCGAACCCAGTTCACCAGATTACGAGTCCACTACTCTTAACCACTGCACCACACTAGCTCTGTGCCTGAATTTTCCCAGAAGAACATGTCCCTGCTTACACATGCATTTGGCTCTGGGGAAGGGTTTGCTCTTCCACTTTCTGCTGCTGCTGCATTAGCGGCGCATCAATGACACAGAACCCCGTCACTTACAGAGGAGGTGTGTGAGCCAAGGAGGTTGGCTGTGATGGACGATGGCCACACAGGCCGTGTTGAGGGCCACGATGCTCAAGACGAGCCAATAGAACACCTGGGATTTCACCATGTGGCGGACAGAGATGCGCAGGAGCCGCTCCTTGTGTCGGAAATACGAGGCGCCATCCAGTTTGGCGCTCTTGATGCTGGCCCGAGCGAGGGGGGTGCCTGCAACGGGATGGAAAAGAAAGACGGGAGATGTCAATAGAGATAAATGGTGCACGAACATTTCACAAAAGTAAAGACAAATTCCTTGCTGTCTCAGTGCTTTATGCATGCAAGGAAGTACTGTGAAGCTATAGGCCAGGGTTGGGCCTATTCAGGCCTGCCAGTCATTGGAGGTTGGCTCTCCAGGACTTTTTGGGCAAACCGTGTCCACTGTTCCTGTACCTGACGTCATACATAATGTCTAAAATTGGACTAAAATTGTCAACTGAAAGCTTCCAGTTTATCACCACAACAGTTATTAACACTGGGCTTCAGTAAAGCAAACAATTTAATTAGACAGCACCTATACGATATCACGTGACAGAATAATTAGGCGACACTAAGGAAATTTTGTCCATGGTATGACTATTTTCCACCTAGTCATTTTGACACTTTGGCACCCTATTTGCAAAATTTAACCATTCCAAAATACAGATGTGCTTTCACTTTCAAAAATGGAATATACTGTCTTAGGCTGAACGTACTTGAGGGTCGATTTCAAAAACTTCCACCGGAAAAAACGGTTATGTCCATTTGGAGATGGCAGTACTGAGTCAGTGGCTCGTGTGCTTCTGGCTTGCAATCTTTATAAAGATTTGAGGAGTGAGGCTATTACCCCTCTACTATTGTCCATGTCAGCTGACTCAACCATTGCTACTTTTAGCAGATCAAGATGATCAGGTGACAGCAAAAACCGCAAGGTTTTTAGCGGGGGCAATTAGAATAAGATCTATTATTGGATGTAAACCAGAATGTACTTTGTATAGTTAAGTTTTTAACTCTATCTTTGGTACATTTTATTTTATTTTATTGCTATGGCTAGTGGCTGATGCAAATAAAGATTCTTCTGATCTGATTTTATATGATGTCAGGCCTAGGAAGCTTCAAGCCACAGCTAAACAAAGAAGGACAGATCCTGTTCCCTCCCTGCTTACTTGCTTGGGCAAAATTTAGATCTGGCTGTATGATAGCCCTCTCTTGGACAGAATGGAACAGGATGCTTCCTCCTTTTGGTGTGTGTATATATCAATGAATGAGGACAAAATTATGATTTTTTTAGAATCCAGCTTCTCCTCATTCAGTGCTTTAGGGCTTAACATTTGTTTGAGTTCATAGGAGCCATGAATTCCAGCAAGCTACCTGAGCTCATAAAGGTAAAGGGACCCCTGAACATTAGGTCCAGTCGTGGCTGACTCTGGGGTTGCGGCGCTCATCTCGCTTTATTGGCCGAGGGAGCTGGCATACAGCTTCCGGGTCATGTGGCCAGCATGACTAAGCCGCTTCTGGTGAAACCAGAGCAGCGCACGGAAACGCCGTTTACCTTCCCGCCGGAGCGGTACCTATTTATCTACTTGCATTTTGATGTGCTTTCAAACTGCTAGGTTGGCAGGAGCTGGGACTGAGCAACGGGAGCTCACCCTGTCGCGGGGATTCGAACTGCCAACCTTCTGATCGGCAAGCCCTAGGCTCTGTGGTTTAACCCACAGCGCCACCCACGTCCCTACCTGAGCTCATATTGACCCCTAAATACCATCTCCAGCAGAGACTGGCCAACTTGAGCTTTGTGAGACCTTTCCCTGTATGCATACAATCATTTCCTGTTTTTTTTTTAAAAAAAGAGTAATTACTAGTCTGAAACTCATCCTGAAAGCTCAAGTGTGTGTGTGTGAATAAGCTGATAGTTTTTAAAGCATTAAACAGCACTTCAGACATTATTGCTCTCATTCCCAGAAGGATGCAGTTAATCGCCAAAACCATGTATTTATTACAAAACAGAGATAGTATCTCCGTCACATGTTTACACACACAGTATTCCAAAGAGGGAAGAATAAATCACACTGCAAACTTCCAAGCTAAAGAACCCAAAGGAATACTAGTGCCAATTATCAAGTCAATGCAGAATCTAAGTCCTTTTCTGGTACGCCAGATATTGGGACAAAAACATCTACTTTATTATACTCTGCAGCAATACACATGCTGGGAGCTGCCTAACAAAAATAGTTTAAAAAAAATAAAAATCCAAGGTTGCAAATCTATAGCATCAGGCCCGTAACACACCATTCCCAAAACTGCAAGAGAAATTGTTTATTCTCTGTGTTAATCAAGTCGGGGGCAGCTACTGGAAAGTGTGGCGCGGTTAACTTATTTCAATCAAGAGTTTGCAATTATTCCCTCATTCTGTGCCTCTCTTCCAGAACGAAGGCATGTCCTCCTGCCAGCCCCAAGATAACAGATAAATGAGATGTTCTGCTTCTCACTTGAAGGAGTCACAAAATCCGGGATGATCTTGTGCCAATGTTTCTTTCTAGGGTGAGTCCACATGCAAAGGAGAACGGAGCTTTTGAACCTCTAAGAGTTGCATAGGAATATCCCCCTTGGATCCAGCCCAATCGCCTTCTAAATCTGGCCCAGGGATGGTCCGGATTTCAGCATGTTTTTACATGAGTAGACTGTGTGTTTTTATTTAAAATGCATGTCTGGGTTATTTGTGGGGCATAGGAATTCGTTCATTATTTTTTTCCAAAATATAGTTTGCCCCCCCTCCCCCAAGGTCTGAGGGACAGTGAACAGGCCCCCTGCTGAAAAAGTTTGCTGACCCCTGGACTAGTGGGATAACACAGAACTAAGAAAGCTTGATTGTAATTTTCTTTCAAGATCAAATCAATATTATTTTGATCCATTGTTTCAGGGCACCTAAAAGGCGTGGGACCCATTGGCTGGTGCCTACCCAGCCTATTTGGTAATCTGGCAATGTCTCCCCCTGTTCCCTGCAGGGCAGCAGAAGTTGGAGGGACATGGCACTGGCACTGTGCACAGCTGACTGCATGGCAGCTTCAGCAATCTTGGACCCTAAACTTTTGTCCCTGCTTGTTATGTACTGAGCTGAATCCTAGAACAATAGGATCCAGAATGCAGCAGTCTGATTGGTCTGCAGGAGCCACCCAATCCAGCTCCAGGTGGAAGTGAAACAGCGAACCTGATTGGAAGTGAAACAGCGATCTGATTGGCCTGCAGGAGCAGCCAATCAGGCTTCTGGAGGAAGTGAATCACAATCCGATTGGCCTACTGTGCCCTTGAAGGACCAGGTGTGCAGCCTGGGAGTAATTCTGGACTCATAGCTGTCCAAGGAGGCACAGGTCAATTCCGTGTCCAGGGCAGCTGTTTATCAGCTCCATCTGGTATGCAGGCGGAGACCCTACCTGCCCGCGGACTGTCTCGCCAGAGTGGTGCATGCTCTAGTTATCTCTCGCTTGGACTACTGCAATGCGCTCTACGTGGGGCTACCTTTGAAGGTGACCCAGAAACTACAACTAATCCAGAATGCGGCAGCTAGACTGGTGACTGGGAGTAGCCGCCGAGACCATATAACACAGGTCTTGAAAGACCTACACTGGCTCCCAGTACGTTTCTGAGCACAATTCAAAGTGTTGGTGCTGACCTTTAAAGCCCTAAACGGCCTCAGCCCAGTATACCTGAAGGAGCGTCTCCATCCCCATCGTTCTGCCTGGACACTGAGGTCCAGCGCCGAGGGCCTTCTGGTGGCTCCCTCACTGCGAGAAGCCAAGTTACAGGGAACCAGGCAGAGGACCTTCTCGGTAGTGGCACCTGCCCTGTGGAACACCCTCCCACCAGATGTCAAAGAGAAAAATAACTACCAAACTTTTAGAAGACATCTGAAGGCAGCCCTGTTCAGGGAAGCTTTTAATGTTTAATAGGTTGCTGTATTTTAGTGTTTTGTTGGAAGCCACCCAGAGTGGCTGGGGAAACCCAGCCAGATGGGCGGGGTATAAATTATTATTATTTATTATTACAGGAGCAGCCCGGAATTAGCCAATCACGCGGGGCCCATTGTGTAAATAATGCATATATAGCTAGACGTTTTGGGAGAAGTTTCATTCATTGCTAGTATGAGCTGAATAAAGAGCATGAAATTCACACTTGACTCCGAGTATATTTCACTGCTTCTTCTGATTTCATTTCGGTGTTTCAGTTTCACCCCTTTTGGCGAAGTGTTATTGTTCAACACTGGTCAGAGGCACGGAAGCGACATCTATGGATGAATAAAGACCTGGGTTTGGAGCAAGAGCCCCCAGGACAGGCATTGAATGTATGCATCTTACCCACAGAGGAGATATCCACACGCTCATCACTGGAGTCACGATTCATGACTTCTGTCCGGTTCCTTTTAATGGTCGCCCTCCTGAGAACTAGGAAGGGCATAGGAAAGGCAAAAAGAATAATCATCATGTTAATATACTACTATAAGAAAGACACACCATAAACAAGACACATCCAAGAATGAAGGGCAAAAAAGAGAAACGTCTCACAGATGACATGGGAAAAGGACAAGTTCCTGATTTTTGCAATACGCCCAACATATTTTGGCTTAACCCTTCCCCGACCCATCATTTTTTTCTTTGCAACCCATTCCCGCCCACTTTTCCCAACTTGCCAAGGCAGCACAGCTGTACATGTGGGGGAAGTAAAAGGTAAAGGGACCCCTGACCATTAGGTCCAGTCGTGGCCGACTCTGGGGTTGTGGCGCTCATCTTGCTTTATTGGCCGAGGGAGCCGGCGTACAGCTTCTGGGTCATGTGGCCAGCATGACTAAGCCGCTTCTGGTGAACCAGAGCAGCGCACGGAAACACCGTTTACCTTCTCGCTGGAGCGGTACCTATTTATCTACTTGCACTTTGATGGTGCTTTCGAACTGCTAGGTTGGCAGGAGCAGGGACTGAGCAACGGGAGCTCACCCCGTCACGGGGATTCAAACCACCGACCTTCTGATCGGCAAGTCCTAGGCTCTGTGGTGTAACCCACAGTGCCACCCGTATGTGGGGAAAGTAGCCTAGTGGAAAAAACAGCAGGCTGAAGAAGCATTCTGCATCTCCCCATGGATATCAAATTTCAGGGTGAGTCCCCCCCCCCTTACCTTCTAATGCCGATGTGCCAGAATTCTTGTTCTCTTCAGCCAGCATGACTTCCTCTATGTAAAGATGCAAAAATATAATAAAAGAAGTTTAGGAATATATTTGTCAACTATCTAATCAGCAAAACAAAAGGGACAATATTATTTGGCGATATGAGACTAATCACATCATGGCTGTGGTAGGACCATTTGTCCACATCTATTCTACCTTGTGGGGAGAAAAAGAATCTTGTTCACTTGCATATTTCTTTCTTTTTTTAAAAAAAGAGCATGTTATGTAGGTTTTATGTGAATTCCAAATGTCTTTTAAGCTGAAGATATAGTTTTAAAAATGGCACAGCATATCTGAGCAACATAGAAAACAAAAGGCAGGTGCGCACTCCTACGCAAGAGGCGTACAGTTAGGGAGCACTCAGCCAACAAACTAAAAAAGCCACCCTCAAACAACAAAACTTCAAGAAACTCACGGAATGTGACCGAAAATGGAAGAGTTTTATCACTATGTTCCAAACTGTATCCAGTATACGTCTATGGCTTGCAATATAACTGCATTCCACACACTACAAAACTTCCGTGGCAACCAACGTGGTATTGCATTTCTGGCAGCAAAGCCTCTGACATTTGTTGAACGAGCTAGTACAAATCTATGGAATGTCCACAAACATTCCAACTTCTCAGCAACAAAGTATTCACCGTAGAAGTTTGGGTGAGAAAGGATCATTGACACAACAGGCACCAGGAGCTGCTGTGCAGAGCAGGCCAAGGAAACTGACTGAAGGAGGCACCGGAAGATGGGAATCCTAAGGGACAGGTAACCTGGAGGCAGGTTAGTTGAAGGGAAGAGACAAGGAAGGAGGGGGGATGCAGGAACCTGAGGGAAAGTCAGGTGGAACAGTCTCAAGACTAGGGAGCAGTCAGCATGGGTTACCAAACCTAGACCCTGGAAAGACTCCTGCGCCACTGAGAGTTGCAAAACAAGGGGCAATTCTGCCAGTTATGACTTCAGCAGCGATGTGATCTAGAAATCCTAAGGGGCAGTGGGGCAGAGGAACAGTGATAGGATGGAGCTCTGAATTAACTTCCCGTTTTAATTTGAACTACTAAGCTAATACTTTGATTCCAGACTAATGAGAATGCAATTGAGTAGATTGGAAGTCTAACTCAAAGGTGGGGTGAAGGGTGGTGGATGGTGATGGGGAAAGGAATTATCTGTGGGATTGAGTGTATGTATGTTTAAATATTTTTAAGGATTGTATGAAATGTATGCTTGTATGCTTGTATATTCGCAATATGTGTGTATTAATGCTGAATTATTTTAATAATAAAAACTTTTCCAAAAAAAGAGATATACTGTAATATTGCTAAGAGGACTTAAAGGTAAAGGTAAAGGGACCCCTGACCATTAGGGCCAGTCGCGGACTACTCTGGGGTTGCGGTGCTCATCTCGCTTTACTGGCCGAGGGAGCCGGCGTACAGCTTCCGGGTCATGTGGCCAGCATGACTAAGCCGCTTCTGGCGAACCAGAGCAGCGCACGGAAATGCCATTTACCTTCCCACCGGAGCAGTACCTATTTATCTACTTGCACTTTGATGTACTTTCGAACTGCTAGGTTGGCAGGAGCAGGGACCGAGCAACGGGCACTCACCCGTCGCAGGGATTCGAACCGCCAACCTTCTGATCGGCAAGTCCTAGGCTCTGTGGTTTAACCCACAGCGCCACCCACGTCCCCATTAAGAGGACTTAAATTTCCCAAAATGGTTTTGCACTACAAGTCCTAGCGCATGCAAACTGTGCACTGAAAGAAGGCAGTTTCAGGGGTCAGAAGGGCAAGGGGCGTGTACACAGGTTTTCAGTCGTTGGCAGCTCTGGCTCTCTCCTGACGGTTTGCTGTTGTTCCAGGCTGACAGCTGGATTGGCTCCGCATCCTGCCCTGACCCCGGACATACTTTACCTGCTTTATCTATCCAAGCCCGGTAGCCGTTCAGCTCCCGTTCAATCTGCTGCTGCCTCCTCAGTTTCATGAAGGCCCGGCGATTTTCCACTCGCTCTCTCTCTTTGGCAAATTCCCTGTAGAGGCAGGAAGAAGGCCAAGATCCTGTTAGAAAAAGACTTTCCGCAGCGCTACAGCACTGAGTTGTATACTGCATGAGACAGCCATGGCGCGGAGGGGTGGGAAGAAGGCTGTCTTAGTTTGCGACGGGGAAATCAAGGAGAAAACCCATACAGGTAAATCTGGAGACAGAGAAGCAATGAGCTCAGAGCAGGTCAGCTGAAAGCGATTGCCAGGGGTTTGTATTTATTTATTCATTACTAGATTCCCAACCCACCTTTGCTTCCAAGGAGCAAAAGGCAGGATACGTGATTCCTCCTCCCCGTTATTCTCACAACAGAGCAGGTTGGGCAGACTGGTTCAAGATTACCCACTGAGTTACATAGCCAGGTATTTGAACCGGGGTCTCCCTGGTCCTTTTTTTTTTTTTTGCATTTTATTGTTTTATTCATTTAGTGTAACAATCTTTACAACAAAAGACTTCACACCCAAAATAAAATCATGAATGGTAAAAGCTTGAGTCTCATGTTTTCATTTAGACTAATCTCTTCTCAGATTCCATTATTTTAATATTCCTTAATGTTTGTTTCCTTGTTTTAATTCGTTATTCTCAATCTCTTAAATCCTATATATATCTTTAACAGTTTTTCAATTACTACCCTCATCTCCCTCCCCCAAGACCCATTGCTTCCCTCCACCCATACATACATACTGTTATTTTTTGTTGTTGCATTACCTGCTGTTTATATTTGTTGTTCCATCTTTGTTACGATATTATCCTATCTCCTTGTGCCCTTTAAGCTATTGCATATTAATTTTTAAGCTCCAAAACCAACTCTTTTCATGTAGACCTTTACGCATTTCCACTCTTTATAAAGTTTTTGATTAGGACAACTTCTAATTGATGCTGTTAACTTGGCCATTTCCGCAAATTCGCAAATTTAGGCTCTCCATTCTAGTAATTCTGGTATTTTGTCTGTTTCCCAATTTTTCGCCAGGTCTCCCTGGTCCTAATCTAATCTCCTTTAACCTCTGTACTGCAGTGGATTGAGCTCAGGTGAAAGAAGGACCTTTGCCCCACTCTCCAAGCTTGTTTATGTGTGTTTGTACAAATTGGACTCAGAGGAAGCCTGCATCAGGCTGTTGACATCCTCTAAAAGCCAACTGATCCCTACCATACCTCAGTGTTAACAAATCAAGCCAAGGAATCACTCGTTCAAAGCTCCTCCCCACTCAAACCCCACCGCAAGCGAGTGCAAATAATCATAGCCAGACACTGGAGAGACCTGTCAGGAGTAAGACCAACGGTACCAAATAGTATAGGAAAACAGCCCTACTAGAAAAATTAACCAATAAACTGAAACTGGCACGGGGACAAATAGAAGAAGACGCCTTCACCCCGATATGGCTCCCCTTTACCACATACACAGCCCAACAAGACAACGACAAGAATCCGCCAACAGCATATGAATCAATATGGCTAACCTAATCCAAAACACCCACTCACACATGAAAACAAAGCTCACCACAGCCAATCACAAACGAACAACCACACCCTAGGCCAACCCCAACCTCTCTCAACACCAAAGGAACACAAGCGAATAGCAAAGAGAACCTGCACAAGCGACGCTGACACAAAACCCCACATATATTAAGTAAAATAGAAACATCCCCACCAAACCCCACTCCCAGTCACGATTCCCCCCTCCACCTCTTCCCCCCTTTTCTTCCTAATGTCTCAACAAACGAAACTGATCTGTAAAAATGTTACTTGGAAAAGAAAAGAGAGAGACACTGCTCATACTTTTGTAAACCAAGATTTTTTAAAAAAATAAAAATACATAAAAAAATAAGTCCTCTGGGTGTGGGGAAGGGGTATTGGGGGGTCTTTGCTGCCTGACTCCCCCACCCCCTTTCATTCTCAGCTTCCTTCAGACTTAAGTTTGCAAATGCGGGTGGAACACATGAGGAGTATGAAATAAGAGACAATGCCTCCCCTTTTAACTTATGGCTATTTTACTCATTTGCTGGGAGGATGTTTTCCTAACTCATCCCTTCCCTCCTGGCAACCTTTGCTGACCACAGCTTTCCAAGGACAACTTTAAATGATGTGGGTTGCGCAGGTGGGAGGGCTGAACAGGCAAGCTTGGCAAAGGCAGGCGAGAGGAGGATGGTTTCGAAAGCCATGCTTGAAAGCCGAAAACCTTGGCTTGCAGTCCAGGGGATTCGGAAGAGCATGAACGATAAAGTAAGACCTTGTGCATAATTCAGAGGGCAGGGCTGCTGCCTTCCTGCTGTCCGAACCAAACCTCCCTCCTGTCTCTTCAATAGATGCTTATAATTCCACACATTCACTGCGCACTGACTTTCCGCAGGCAAAGGATTCATTCTCTCTCTCTTTTACACACACACACACACACACACACACAGGCTGATGGGGTGGGGGCGTGGATGCATTATTCAAAGGAAATGTGTTTTGCTGCAGCCATGCTGCAGAGTCGCAGAATCTTCTGAAGGTGTGGAAGGGTGGGTGGAAAGGAAGACAGGAGAGGGAGCAGGAAAATAATGAAGGTCTCCCTGGGAATACTCTAGGCTCCCTTGGCAACCACAATCCTCCCAAGGAGGAAGCTCTGTGGAGCCCACACAACCCTCTGTCTTCTTCTCCATCACATCTGCAAAACCGACACTCCATCACGGAAGCAAGCAGCAGCACGAAAAACAACCCCCGATGACCCAAATGAGCATACGGTCTTTCTCTCTTCGCTTGTACAGCTCTGGGACCCCTTCCACTGAAATAAGCTCCAATTAACCTGACTCCATGAAAGGATGACCAGTTCACAAAGACAAGCAAGCCCATGTTAAGCATCTAACTAAAGCTCAGGCCAATGTCCCATAGCTGATGCAAAGCAGGCATAGACTTGGTTGGGTTCTTCAATGGGGGTGGGAAGGAGGTTGACCGGGAGACCTCTATATGGGCAGGTTGCAAATATAAGAAAGGTTTCTTTGGAAATTGCATTTAAAAAAAAAATAGTCTCTTCACACATGATGCTTTGCAATGAAATGGACACTTGATAGAGAGCTACCATCAACCCCACCTTTCTAATTAGTATACCTGTTAGGTGCGCGTGTTTCCAAAAAATACACTTGTCTCATCTGGACATGACATTTCCTTTTTTTAAGTCTACAGTGTGCACCTTAAATTGGACCTAGATAGATTTATGGGATAAAGATACTGTTATCGGTTCCCACCACAGGAAGTTTAATTTATTGGTTTGTTGAATTTGTATCCTGTCTTTGCACCAAATGGTACTTATGACACAGGTGGTAGCAATGTTAAAAAATAAAAGTAGCATACAATAAAAGCCAATCAAATACAAACTAAAATAAGCATAAAAACAAGGCAGGTAAAAACATCAGTAAAAATAACCAGTTAAAACCATTTGCAAGTCTATAGCACTGGCGGATTTATAAAGAAAAGTTATGTGTCGTTGGCTGCAACGATAAACCCCATCAGAAGATTAAAGTGAGCAATTGCCCCAAGAGCACAATTTGCTTTTTACGAGCCCAGTTCTAGCTCAGAAACCCTGCTGCACTTCCAGTTTCACCATCAGGAGTGTGGGAATGACTATGGCTTCTAGTCAAAAATCAAGGGCAGACCATACATCTGAAATGCACTTACTCCTTTGGTCTGCCTGTATTTGTAGAAAAGAGTTACGGGTACCTTCTGGTCTTCTTCACGGCTTCTGCACAGCACTACATTGGAAAGTTCCTTGAAGAACAGCAGCCCAGGTTTTTCCCCCTCCCCTATTAAAGAGTACTCTCTGTCACAGTACAGTGTGGTGTAGTGGTTAAGAGCGGTAGACTCGTAATCTGGGGAACTGGGTTCGCTTCCCTGCTCCTCCACACGCAGCTGCTGGGTACCCTTGGGCCAGTCACACTTCTCTGAAGTCTCTCAGCCTCACTCACCTCACAGAGTGTTTGTTGTGGGGAAGGAAGGGAAAGGAGATTGTTAGCCGCTTTGAGACTCCTTCGGGTAGTGATAAAGCCAGGTATCATCTTCTTCTTCTTCTTCTTCTTCTTCTTCTTCTTCTTCTTCTTCTTCTTCTTCTTCTTCTTCTTCTATGATGTTCATGCTGTCCTTTAGAGAGTCTCTACCCTTCTCGCTGAAGGGATGCGGGTGGCACTGTGGTCTAAACCACAGAGCCTAGGGCTCGCTGATCAGAAGGTTGGCGGTTCGCTGGCTCCCTCGGCCAGTAAAGCGAGATGAGTGCCGCAAACCCAGAGTCATCCATGACTGGACTTAATGGTCAGAGGTCCTTTACGTTTTTACCCCTCTCGCTAAACTGGCACTGACTTCGGAACAATGACTTGGTAACCTAGATTAGATGGATGGCTAAGGCCTATTCAGGAGTTCAAGGAATGTGTCAGAGAGATCACAGATGCCTGTTGCGTGGGAAGGTTTGAAGGGGGCTTCTTCACACGGGGGTCTGGATGCAATTGGGAATCCCCTTCAGGATCATGCAGGATTCCCAGTTGTGGGAAGGATTCTCAGCACATTCAGCTGAATGTACAAAGAATTCCGCTTCAGGCATTGAGCCTCAGCTCTTAACAGAGTCAATGGGGGCACTGGGAAACACATGTCCCCCCCCATGGTATTGCCACACACGCTATTTAAACAGCTGCATAGGGCTCTAGTTGCTGCAGTTTTGCCACTGAGGCTAAATTCACCATAAAATATCAAAAAAATCAATAGCTGCCACTACCTAATAGGCTGAAAGAGCAACAGGGGCTTTCTGCACCGAGGAAAAGTTTAACTAGGATATCAAATGAAAGTCTGTCACCTTCCAGTCTCTAACGACCCATGACCTCAAAAGAGCAAAAGAAAGGACATAGAAACTTGACCAAAGGGAGAACGACATTAATGTGGGAAGAGAGTAGATGAGTTAGCAGCCTCTCCGATCAGACCTGCTGTTAAGTTTATTCACACAGAGAGAATTGTTGCAGTCAAGAAAACAAA